ACTCTACATGTTTTGAAGTTACAACATTGTAATGTCGAAACATGTAGAGTCGTCAACTTTTGAAGGCCATAGATAAGCCTAAATAAAATGTTTTTAATTGTGTACCAGTTTAACGTTGAATATTATTTGTGATTTTAACTTTATACACAAGTGCCAAAATACTATAATTACTGTAAAGAAATTTAAAATTATGCACAGTGGGAAATACTAATAACAATGTACAACGCAACTTACTGTAAACAACTAAAACAAGCTAACAAATCCTGAAAAGCCCTGTACACTTCAGGTAGCTGATCAAAAGCTACATGTCCATCAGTATCAAGGGTTGGCACTACAGTTACAAACCTCTGACAACAGTAGTAGTCTAACTCCAGTAGATCTCTAGAGAAGACAAAGACAAAGTATTATGCTATTATGTGTACCTATCAATATGGTCGTGTGTACCTATCAATCCACTAGCTTCATAGCTTTTACATGGATTATAGAACAAAGATTTTAAAATCTTACTCAGTTTGAACTGAGTTGATATATCATACATTGTATTATATGACAACAGTTTAGTTTGTTTTACTCCTTCCTTCCATATAATATTTCTATATACAAATTAAGTTTTCAAAGTGGCTTCTGTAATAATGAAGAGTAATATATATATACAAAATTATTTTAAATAAAATTAAGCACTTGAAGTACAGGGTGACGCATGAAATGTTAACACATACCCGTGAAAGGGCTCATCATTTAGTTTCTGTGTTGGGAAAAACTGGGAAAATCATATAGCTGATTCTTGTAAGTACATGCAAGCCTATTTAGTTAAGGAAGTGTACATGCATGTTTGAGAAAAAGGAGAGTTAGAAAGTATGCATGTATGTGTAGAAGAAAGAGAGAGGGAGAGAACAAATGAAGGTTCCACGAAGTTTTTAAGTTGTATTGACACATATTTGATCATAGATAGATTGATTAAGAGAAACCCTCACACAGAGAAAAAAATATAAATAATAGCTCTCTTGATCACACATAACTGAAAAAAGTCCAATCTTTTCAATTTGAGACCAACTGATCATCCTGTTTACCAAAAATTGCTATATTGGTCACTTTGGCCTTAAGTTGCAGCTTCTGAGGCTGCAGCCACATATCACACATTACTTCCCGCACAATGTACCCCGAGTTTAGAGATTGTAATTTTAAAGATGTGGTCGTGCATAAGGAACAGACCCACAGAGCGAGAGAGAGATATAGGGAGAGAAAGACATTCAAGACATTTATATATATATAACATTTTACTCAATCACAAACCATATAATACTACTAAGTCCATATTAAATACACAGCACCTGATTTTAAAAATGCAGTTTCAATGCCACCAACAAGTATTTTTTGTAGCCATATTTGTACTTTTAATGATGCTTTTGACTCAGTACTAGAGTTCATTGTCAAATGAGAAAAGCTACTTCCCAACTCACAAGATATAATAACTATTAAACAGCGGGCATATAAAAATGCTGTTTTTTTGTTTGTCTACTGTCATGACACAGATTATCCTACTAATGATGGCCTACTGTCATAATATAGATTATCCTAATGATCCTGGCCTGGTCTCATGATGTGCATAAATAATCAACACTACATTAATTAGCAAAATCAGCATCATTTTTTTCCACTGAAATAATAGTTTCCACTAATAGTTTACAACTATTATCAAATTGTAGAAGTAGTGATTGTACATAACATTTACAAATATGCACATTCTCCCCAACTTCAAAGTTCATAGTTTCTTACGAATTAGATACTCAAGTTACCGATATTGACAAGCTGGAAAATAAGATAAGAACCTCCTATCTTTTCAATTTTCTGAGATATTAATATAGTTATTGAATCAAAGAAGATGGCCCCACCCACCTCTTTCATTTTCGAAAATACTTGCTTACATACATGTACTTTGCCCAGTGACTTGTGTATAACTATTCAAAAACTCAGAATGTCCCCCCTATTGGTTTTCTAAGCCTTTGCAAAGTACTTACATAGGAAACTTTCTTTTTTACATAGATTCTAGGCAGTGAGGTAAGACATTAGTGAGCTCGAAAACATCTTAGTTTTTTAGACCCAAATACAGCTTAGTTACTAAGCTTCATAAATTATAGTGGAATTCTGTGGTATTGATATAATAATATATGATTTTTTGTTATTTCAAAATGCATATATAAAACCTAAAAAATTATTTTGTTGTACATCCATCACGTGCAAAATTTTACAAGGCTTAGCAATTATGGCAAGCAGCAAACAAGTACAAAGTTTGTAACTGGAAAAAGATAACTGTTTTCTTTACTTCTTTATTTACTGTTGTATGTTTTAAGAAAAATACGTTTAAGAACTTGTTTGTAAATAGTAATAATGTATATACATATATAATGTATTATAACTGAAATGAGACTGTATTTTACAAAATACTGGTCCACTAGAACACAGCTAAGACAGGTCATTTTGTAAAGGCCAGTTTTATATTCTTGGATATGCTAACATGACTGCAAATTGACCAATCCTGTACTTAGATACAATTGTGAAAATAACAGAAAAAATATAAATTTCTCTCTAAAAAAAGGTTTGATAATTATCTGAAGGTTATAAAGATCTCGCATGTGAAATTTGAAAATTTTCTTATTCATAAAAGTATTTTTAATGTTAAAATCAAACTTACTTTGTATGTTGAATAGTCAACATTTGAAAAGAAAAACATTACTTAAAAATTTGAGATTTTGCATATGAAAGCTTTGTAATGTTTACTGATAATATGCAAAATTTTGTTAAGATATGCTTATTGTATTAAAATTTATAGCATGAAAAGTATAAAAAGCACAAAATGGTTACAAGGTCGGTCTCTCGGACCAAGCTCATAGGTTCACAATAAAGTACTTATTGTTATAAAAAAAATCAGATATGGTTTCCCTTGGTGTAGAAAAAATAAGCTGATGTTATATCAATATTGCTGTTTGTTTTTCTGGAGCTCAGTTACATGCATATGTATTAACTAACACACAAAAGTGATATAATAAATAGTACATACATTCATATTAAATTTAATTCCCAATTATCTACCCACAACTTTACAAAACAGTTAATTACTTACTTATTACTATAAGGAACTTGCCAATTGTCCCTGAGAGCAAACCTTACATAAAGATGCAACTGAAATAGATGAAAAGAAACCATCACAAATGAAATATTTCACAAGCAACAGCTTGAAAATAATTTTCTCTTTCTGTTTAATTTATTGAATCAAGGATATTACATTTATAACTAATGTCATCTTTCATAAACTGAATCACCAAGAACTTGATGATCACTGAAATACATTATGAACAAAAGTAACTTACTTGATTTATTTTCACTGATGAAAGAATATCAATTTGTCCTTTCAAAGTTTCCTGTGAGGAAGAAGGATAAAAGATATGTGTGTATATATATATATATATATTTATACACACATACACATATAGTATTAGAAATAATTATGGAAAGGGTGACAAAAATGTAGGCATAAAAGACAAATATTACCCAAATGTCAGAACAGTCTTCCAACTAATCAAAAAGTGCCACACCAGTATAAGGCCTATGAAAGTACGAGCAATCACACTATACACAGTATTAGAAATATAATTCCAGTCATAGCTCCCAGAAGTGAAATACCACAAGAAAAGAATGTACAGATAAAAGTTTTGCCTGGTCAAGGGTAATCCAAGTTAAAAATTATGATAAAAGACTTCACATGTCAGTAGGAGCAGATAAGGGTAAGTTAAACTGACACTGTTAATAACAGTAATAGAAGTTGTCAAGGTAGAAAACTTGAACTCTCCAAAAGTGATGTTAAGTATCTCTGGGTATGTTTTATATCAGACCTTGCTGTAAAATACAGGTGTGTATGTTATCTTGGGAACAATAAGATATATATCAGCATGAATTGTCCTCAATGAATGCTTAGCTGATTAACCCTATTGTAACAATGCCATTTTTGAAATTTCTTTCTGCTCATGTTACTGAGTTACATTCAAAGTTTAGTTAAACTACTTTACTCTCTATTTAGGTCAATGAAATTAACATTACAATGTATGTTATAAAGTGGATTTTTATGTTATCTATGTTTAATTTCTTTGTTTCATACTTAAACTGCAGTTTTCTTGTCACATGAATCATGAGCTATGAAAACTCTCAACTATTGCAGGGGCTATCTTGTAACACAGATGCTTAGTCCTGTACATGAGTTTCTAGATGGAAATGTACATCTATTTGAACTAGTGACACATAAGATAGTCTTTCAGCTGCATGTACTGGAAAAAGAGTAATAAATTTTGCCACATTCACCTTGTATACTTTGCCGTGAAATTTACAATGTACAGGTAGTTAGTTGATACAAGTGTATATAGTCATTAGCAAGAGTTCAGTTTACACTATAATCCACCAATTGTTATATGTAACTGCCTGTACTATTGTTGTCTGCTTGATCAACTATAGCACTTAGTGGATTTTTAACTAAATATGCCATAATTAGAGAGACAATTGTGAATAGGTCTAACTTTTATAATTTATTTAATTTTGTATTATTTGTTTTAAAATTCATAATTGAAAGGTTTAATAATTTTTATTATGTTTAAATGTTGTCCTCTCACTGGAGAAGGCTTAGAAAAGCTAGATGTGCGGAAGCGATAGGAGGTTCTACAGATTATGAAAATGAAATGTGAAAACTGTAAGATAAAAAATAGAATTGAATTATTCAGAGTCTGAGTTCAAATAATTACATGAGATAGTGAATGTTTATTTAAAATAGCAGAAAAAATAAAATATTTTGTTCTTCTGAAACTAAATACCTTTAGAAAAGTTCTTGTCAAATTTCAAACAATTTCATCCACTAGTTGGATTTTTGGAAAGACATTTCATGGGAGTTACATCACCTACTTATTATGTAAGTACGTCATCACAATAGGGTTAAAAACCACTGCTAAGAAGAAGTATCCAAACCAAAAAGATGAAATGGGTATCAGACCACAAACAGTAGAATAACTAAAATCTTCAAGATGTGCAATCTTTAAAGGTGAATCCACGTTTGAATCGCTTAGCAACAACCTGAAGCACATGAGCAGAGGAACAGAATTTATGAATTGTTTTATCAACTAACTAATATAATCCATAATGCAAACAAATAAAATTTGTTGTTGTTTTTTCTATTTTGCATAATGTAGTAAGTTACAATATAGCTAAAAGAATGCTAATGACGTACCTAACATTGTAAGGAAAGAAACAGAAATGGAATACAAAATACTAATAAGTGTTTATCAAAAGGCTAGACAGTCTTTTGTATCTCAGTACTCAGGCCTTACTTAAGTTATCAAGTTGGCAAGATGTTTATAGAAGTTGAAAAATCTGTACAAAATTGTATCATGTATCCTGTAAAAAAACTATGGTTCTCAAGGCAGGAAAATATGTGCAGTCATGAGACTGGATGATCCTAGGACTTTTAGTTACTATGCACAGTGATGAACAACAATCTAAAACTGACCCTGTATTATTTCATGCTTGGTGCAAAATCAATGTGGAGTGCAAAATAAATTATGTGCATTAGTTGTAGTTATGATTCTAGAAGCTTTGACAATGTCCTGTCTCTATTGTATAAAAAGTGGCTTAAACTAAGAGCAAGTAGTCTATTCCAGAAAGCCTGCAGTCAGTGTCCAGCTATTTCAAGAATCAGCTTTGAGTCTTCATCTAACCACTGCTTCAAAAGTCATCTAGCAGTATGGAGAACTTCCAATACTCGATTTCAGTGTAAGTAAATTGTATTCCCAATAATTTGAATTGTACATTAACCCAAAGACATCCAGCTTATTCAAGATACTGATCAAAGTTACTGAGTTGTTAAGAATACTGGAAGAAATAACTGGTGAAAGATCAGTACAAGTTTGTGGCTGAATGTTAGCCAATGGTGTCAGTGATCTACAAAGAACTGACTGCACCCTAATAACTGACAAGTACATGCAGATTCTGATTCCTAATGCATTCCCTTAAAACAATTCTCACAACATATAACAGTTTCAATGATATCTTTACAGTTAAGTGGCCCGATGAAAGATCCACAACCATGTCTTGGTCTACACAAAGTCTCGATACAAATATTCTTGAGACTGTACAGGTTTATATAAAAATTGAGGTCAAAAAGTGACTGAAAAAGTTGGACAAAGTGTGGGAAGTAATACAGGACATTTGGAAAAATATTTCATAATTGTTTGCTAATACTATACAATAAGTGTCATATTATGGGTATAGCAAAGGGCTTACATACTAAATACCAGTGCACCGTACAAGTTAATCACTTTCATTTGTATCTTCTGTGATAATGCTGTGCATCTTTAATAAGTTCACCATATACATAACACTTGTTTTCCAGTAACTATTTTCATTACTGTCTATGTTATTATAAAGAAAATCTACCTTTTCTTCTAGATTACTAATTCAAACTATTACCCCAAACAATGATCTTAATGTTTAAATTTATATTAAAGTTTAAATGATTTATATTAATTAGGCATGCAGTAAAAATCAAAAATATTTATTAAAAATTAAACTAAGAAATCATATGCATATTTTTATTTAATCCTTCAAGTACTGATAATTTTAAAAATCAATAATTTCACCACAAATAGATTTCAAGAAAATAGGAAATAGCTTAATTTGTGGAAATTATCTCCCAATAACCAAGATTATTTTATATCAGAATTGCATATTTTGTTAAATAACAATAAGAAATACACAACAAAATTGCTATGAAATACATTAGTTGTTTAGTTATTTTTAGTTTAATTGCTTATTCTCTGAATAACGTACCAAAATCAATTATATTTTTTAAGGCATAATTTTGCACCTTCTTGACAAGTCTGAAAAAAACTAAAAATTGGATATCTTACCAATGTAGGAATTCTAGCTTCAGAAGAAACATCAATCAATACACCACGATGCTTTAAGTTTGGAGAATCATCTATCTAAAAAAAAATCATGAAATACACAGTGTTAATGAAGATTTTTATGAACATATCATCAAATGAATGTAACAGTAGTATATTTTACTGGTTAGTACATGATCATTATTGATTGGAAAGTTTTACAATTTCATTTTAATAAGCAAAAATATAACTTGGATACTGATTTCCTATTGGTGGATATACAATTAAATTTTTTGTTAGAAATGTTATGTACATTTTTATGAAAAGCTTTAGAAAATTTAAAAGCAAACATTTCTTTCCTTGATAATATGATACTATATGATTTTTCAACTTGCAATCCAGAATTCATATTAAACCTGTGCTTAACAGTTATTATAATCAAACTCACAAAAACCGTTGGTATTCCTTCTTCTCCAGAATATAACCTCAACAGCTGCATCAGTGAGTTAATCGCGTGATGAAGGCCAGCCAAATCTCCTCCAATAATCCTAATCTAGGATGAAATTATAATGATGGGCATATCATTATTATTATTATTCTCTGGTCACAAACGTTAAAATAAAAATATATATTCAAATGTAGTTGAAAATAACTCATCCATATCCTTTGTATTTTATCATAACAAAAAAAGTGTTGGATTCAATAACAAATAAATATAAAATCAGATGTAGAATCAGCATTTGTTGTACTTATAGAGAAACAAACATCAAATCATAGAAAGAAAAAGCCAGTTTCTAAAACCAGTGAAAAAACATGTAACATCGTATATAGAAAAAGACAGTGTCTGCTGGATTTAATATTAAACTAGTTTCACTGCTAATGTTTTGTTTCCTGAGTGATGTTGCACACTTTTACCTATCTGTATCCAAAAGGTTGATATATCTAATTATTAGATTTTTAATTTTACTTATGATTATTATACTTTTATTATAGAGATTGTTTTTATGTTGTTAGCTTAATATATGTATTTAGGACTAACCTACTTCTTTTAAGGTGACCAATCCTTGTGAGCTATTACTAGAATTACGGCCAAAAATATCATTAAGGGTCAGGGTACTGAATTGATGAAACAGTGCATTCTTATGTTTATACAAGTGTTTTTTTTATAAACACAAAGCTACACAATGGGCTGTACTCTGCCCACCACAGGAATCGAAACCCGGTTTCTAGCATTGTAAGTCCACAGACATACCGTTGTGCCACTGGGGGACATTATAAGAACGTAAGAAAAGTATATTTAATAAGTTATACTGATTAGCAGGTTGATTTTTTAGTTTTGCTTTAAGTAGGCATCTTGCACTAATTGTAAGTGTAATTCAACTGAAAGTCTATTAGGGCAACTGTTATTAGTATCAAAGACTTCAGCCTTTTATCCATAGATCTTTTTGGTAGTAAATATGTTATAAGAAGGAAAATAACAACAATATTTGTTTTAAAAAAATTATACAAAACTTAAAAACCTAAAAGTAACTCAATTCTTGATTTGACAGAATGATGAAAAACATGATCTATTTTGATAATGTTATACTACAATGCAGTGTAATGTTTAATAAAGAGAAATGCTGGTAAAAAACAACATACCTACCTCAATTTTTCCTGATAATGTTACCATAAACTCAAAATTTAATTATTTGGCTTAATGTGCAATAACAAATAAACATGTACTAAAACATGGTTAGAGGTTAGTGGAATTGGCCTTTTGCTGATTCAAATTAATAAATTGTTGGTTCACTTTGTACTAGGATATTGTTGAGCACACAAAATAATCATATTCTTCTCTACCTCTATCATCCCTTTGTACAGTGACAACAGACCTAAAGTAACCACGTGTCTGATCACCTAAATGTAGTTGTGTACATTCTGTTCGCCAGGCCATAAAAAATTGTAAACTCGATCCCAAGAAATAAATGTACATAACCAATATATTTAAAATTTGTAGTATAAATCATATCAACTACAGTTCTTTTTTACCACTTTTCTCTTGTCTAAAATTTAGGCTTATTGATTTTTGATCCTTCTCCAGCTTACTGCATTTAAACCATAACTTTTAAGTATACGTACCTTATGTTAAGCTCTACCTAATAGTAATCTCACTGGTCATTACTATGTTTAGTATTTTTCTGATTTATAATAAAGTTCATGAAATTTATCATAATTTATATTGTTCTTCGATGGTACCTACAGAGATTTTCTTCAATTTTTTTTATTAAGTTAATAAGCTTTATTACTCTAAAAACCACGATTAGTTTTGACCATATATCTTCATCAGGTTTCAGTTAATTGAATACATTTTGCATTATTTCTCAAAATAGGACCAACAATACTGATGTTTATAGAAAAAATAAAGAAATATCAGATCTTGCTAAATGGAATAACTTATATTAAACATTTTTCAAACATATAAAAAAATGTATTCTCAAACCATTCTTTTTATGCTTATTTTTTTTACAGGCCTAGTTTCCACCCTTTTCTGATGTCATATCAATTAGTTTGATCATTAACTAATGAAACACATCTTTGGAAACAGCTATAAAGTAAGTTTAAATATGTTTTGTTTTGTTTGTTTTGAATTTCGCACAAAGCTACACGAGGGCTATCTGCGCTAGCCATCCCTAATTTAGCAGTGTAAGACTAGAGGGAAGGTAGCTAGTCATCACCACCCACCGCCAACTCTTGGACTACTCTTTTACCAACGAATAGTGGGATTGACCGTCACATTATAATGCCCCCACGGCTGAAAACGCAAGCATGTTTGGTGTGACGGGGATTCGAACCTGCGACCCTCAGATTGCGAGTCAAGCGCCACAACCACCTGGCCATGCCGGGCCGTTTAAATATGATTGGCTAAAGCAATATAGACTTCTCAAGTCACGGTAAATAAAATGGTTTTGAGCAGTAATTTATGGTTTAGTGGGAAGTTTCTAGTCAGAGGTCCTGTATCACTGACCAAAGGCATTCAGTAAGAAGACTTAGGAACAAATAAAAAAGCTGGAAATTTTTCATAATTTCTTTGGAAGTTCTTTTCATTCATGAAAATGTTTTTTGTTAAACAATATCTGCTTGAAAGCTACAGAAAGTTTCTTCAGTGAAAAAACATCAGATAAGCTTAGTTGAGTTTAGTGAATACAGTAGGCAATATTCTGATGACTAAAATCCTTATTTATTGAATATTAGTTTAAATAAAGCATTATTAACATTATCAGTGATAGTAAAACATTTTCATTTTCGATTTACACCAGATCAATATGGGGATCACTGCATATTTCAGAAACAAACAAAATGGTAACTACGCGGTTGTCTCAACAATAGTGATTTGCTAAGTTGGAAGTGTTTAAATTATCTTTTAAAACAATTTCAAAAAAACTTTTTCACAAAATATGCAAATGCTGATTATGAAGGAACACACTGAAGAATTAAATCATAATAAAAAAAAGGTAGTCTGGTAATGTCTTTATAAAAAACAAAACTCGATGAAGATAAGAAGATTAATCATGTGAGAGTAGTCTATTACTTTAATGTATCATTTAATGAACCAAACAATTAGGAGATTTTCAAATTTCACTAACTGCCCAAATCTAGGTTCATTTTATTTAAGTTACTCTTAAATTCTTAGTTTTAAACAAGAACATTCACACAGAAAATAGATAATGCTGCTCAATCTAGTCTTCTTCTCTGGCTTATGATCACAGAATCCCCAGTCTTCTTCTAATCTATTGTAAGTTTCAGAATTCTTTTTTTCTTTAGCAGTTTCACTGGTTGTGTAGTTATCTGCACTATGAATAAAAATCTTTCCAGGAGAACCAACTCTAAATGATGAAAATACTGTGCTACATTTCACTGGTGGTTTGAGAAATAGGCGGACAACATTTCAGTTATTTTTGCCAATCAAAAACATAGATACACAGCAATACAGAGAAGAAATGAAGTTACAGTACACTGCTGTAAAATTGCAACAAATATTTATTGCAACTTAGATTTATTCACTATGAGTTATAAAAAAATTAACCAAGGTAAATGTAGTTTTCTTCAAAAAAAATCTCATTTTTACTAGGAATTATATAACAGCGCTTCCACAAGCCAGGCACCCAGGATTTTGCAGAACCTAATTTTTCAAGTCAAATGGATCGTATATTTATTGGTAAAATTTTTACCAAACCTGATTGGACAAAAAGCAGGTGACTGCTGCACCCTTTGTGAAACCGGATCCATGGCTGACCACAAAACAGATATTGACATACTATCAACATTCAGTGAGAAAGTGTACTGATCTTGTATTGATAAAGCAACATTAATACAGGTAAAGAAGAAAATGGCTTGTAAGTGCAAAGTGCGTATGTGCGGTACTTGTGGGAAATGCCCTCGATGTCAGTGTGGATGTGACAGTTTAGACCCAGAGGTCAAAATGGCATGAAAAGCAGGTGGGAAACAGACGTAGAGCAAATCAAAGGCACGAAGAAAGAAACAGAGAAGGATTGATTACACTATTCCATTGGAGAATAATGAAGATGAAATGTCTACCGATGCTTCTGAGGATTCCTTGAATTTTGTGATGCCAAAGAAATGACACAGATCATCCAAGATCTCAAGTGTGAAAGCAAGGCATTCAAGGCATTATCATAGTACTCCAACAGGGTGCGGGAACGATGTCTATTCAATTTGGCAGTTCTTTGGTATCGAATCTACACCAATATCAAACTTTCCAAATGAAGAAGGTCAACAGAAGGCATCAAGTTTCAGTGCTCTTGACAAGAACAATCAATTGCTTGCATTCTGCATAACTGTATTAAAGATTCTATGCACCATGTTACTCCCATGAGATCCAGATGGTCTTATGAACATGATTGGAAATGCAATTTGTAAGAAATTTTATGATACAAAACTATTCTCATCTGCCAATGAAGCGCAATAAGCTCTGCCAGAAAAATGTATTCAGAGAAAAGGTATACTTGAACTGCTATATCAGTTGATGACATTCAAGGAAGCGAAAGAGAGATTGAAGATTGGAGAACAAGCTTTTGAAATAACTAGATGGCGCTTTCATCGATTGAAGTCTGTGTTTCAGCTAGAACCTACAGTATGATCTGTCCAACATTACTGTAAGCGAGCTGCACTGCAAGCAGTAGAGTTCATCTTGAGCCCAATCAGTGTGAAAGCTTTATTTTGGGGAACAAAAAAGGTTGAAGTAGATGGTAAAACAATTGATTTCCCTCATCAGAAAATAGCAGAGTACATTTATCATGTTATTTGGAACAGTTCCCGAATGCAGCAGACAGGATATCTCATAGCTCTTTCAGAAAAGTAGTTTCTGCTTTGATATCATTTGACCTGAAGGCGCAAAAGACTGTTGACTATGCCGCTAGTATATTTTTATATGACAATATTGGTGTTTGGAATGCATCGTTGGTTGAATTACAGTGGAGGCTGTAAAGTAAATATCCTGCAAAATGCTGACAAGGCTTGAACATTTCTTTAAGTATGATTGTGCAGCCAGTCACAATGTCCAATATGCGCTTGGCTATGCAACTTCTGAAGCAGGTGTTGCTATTGTCAATAGTTGTCAGAAATGTCAGGTGTCGGTTCATACAATTCATTATTTGCTAAAGCATGCATTCAGACTGTCTTGGACTACTGAAGGATTGTGCGCACTAATTCAAATTTTTTTGACTCATCGTATTCAAGTGAAGAATAAATGTTGGAGGATTCAATCAATTCATGAGAACCTTGAACCTGATAAAGCACTTATTGTCATGGACTACAAAATGAAGTAGGAACCTGAGTATTTCCATGAGAAAACTATTGAACATTACAGGAAGAAAGGGCTGAGTTGGCATGGAACCATGGTGTACACTCACCCTGTTGTAGACAGTTCAGATAGAACTTTCAGGATTTCATATTACAATCATATTTCTGGTAGTGATTCACAGCAAGATTGGGACACTGTCTTCTTACTGTTCCAAGGTGTTTTGATGCAAATGAAAAAGGATCGTCCCAATGTTAAGAAATTGTACCTTCAATTGGACAATGCAATGTACTATCAGAATGGTTCTCTAATACTTGGAATGTTACTGTTAGCTCACCACCATGGTTTGAATTACAATCGTTTGTGCATACCGACACACAAGACGGAAAAGGATACACTGATGTACATTTTCCTGTTGCAATGTGTCATGTGTTGAATTATGTCAATATGGGGAACAATGTAATCTCTCCCAGGGAACTATGCATAGAACTTCAGAGCAATGGTGGACTAGCAACTACTATGGTGTCTTTGTTCACACTTGATCATGAGAAAGTGTCTGAGCTTCAGGTTGAATACAAGGAAGCATTCCAGTTCTTTGAGAAAATTTCTCAATGCAGTGAGGTAGTGCTTGATGGAGCTAGACTTCATATTTACAAGTATTCTGGCATGAACTCTTTCGTAGTTGATTTGAAAGACCCATTTCACCCAATGTCATCTGTAGGTGTGAATGATCAAGAAAATGGTGCTCAAGATGAAAACAAGAATGGTGAAAGTGATGTTTTTGATAAACAAAATGAACCAGAGCCAATGAATGATGGCAATCATTGTGAGCTACAAGGACCTGTGACAAAATGCACATTAAAACATTGATCAAGGTCATGTGGATTTCATTAATACTATAAAACAAAATCAGATAACATCATCAGTGAATGATTCTGAATTGGATTATGATGACATCAATTTCATCCCAGAAACAATCTTGCATGGTTGGTCAAAGCAACCTGCATATGGGCTTATCTATGGAGCAAAATACATTGACAGTTCCAAAGATGATACTGACGAGATGTTTATGAGAGGCATTAATGACAAGCGTAACAAAATGGGACCGGGAAGAATGCTTGAAGAGCTACAATGGAAATATCCCCAGTGAACTGGATTTGCCAAGTGATACTGAGATTAGAACATGAATTATGTCTTTGACAGCAAAGTACAAGAAGCATGGTACACTGCAGTTGAAACCCAAAGGTATTCAGGAACCATATCAAACAATCATTACAGATATTACTGCAGCATCCAATTACTCAATTGCACCTGCTAAAGCTCTTGTAGAGTTCAAGAAGAATAGTAACACTGATCAAAGTGAGGAGAATTATCCCACTGATGCCAAGGCATTTGTATCTATGCTGAAAACAAAGAACAAGAACACAACAAACTACACTTGATTTTAGCCAAAAGGACAAGAAGGTAAGTCAACAACACCACAGATACATCTTCTAAGGTGGATGTCCACCAAAAAAGACTAAGTTAACTACTGCGTACTATGGGAGTCAAAAACTTGTGATAGCATTACTAAATCTGTGAATTTTTTTCTTAAAACTGTCTGAAATTTTAGTTCAACCTAAAAACACTAAAAATAGGGTTTTAGCTCATTCCATAATGATGTTATATATTAAGGTCTGCCATAAAGCCCAAATCCTAGGAGCCTGACCTATAGAAGCACTGTTGAGAATGATGTAATTAAAAAAAATATTTTCATTGATGTTTGTAAGATGATTACATTTCAGTTAAAGCTATGAAACTATATTTTGAGGTTTTAAAGAACAAAAATAGGGAAATCTTACCATGTATAAAACTAGGTTAATGTTTTTCAACATAAATATCAAGGCTACCAATGGAACTACTAACTACTATCAGTTGTCCAACAATGGTGACTAATTTTAACCACCAATAAAATTATAAATTTTATGTTCTGAACATATCATTAAATAATCATTACTAACCTTATAGCTTCTGTATGAAAAATTATTGCTGGATTCACTATTAAAGCAATTAAAAAATATGAGAAATAACTTTGATGGAGTAGCTGCTACCCTTTAACTTTAAAATGTAAGGATGAAAGAGTGCTAAATTTGCCATTTGAAAAATAATAATAATAATAAAATCTTACTTGAGAAGAAGTCACTGCAACTCTGTAACTTTCATTATGAGCAAACAGTGCTGGATTCACCAAACAGATGATTCTAGCTTCAGGACTACTGGAAGCAGGTAGTATACCATCTATATTCAGTTGATAACCTAGTGTTTGCAGTTCTGTACGATGAATTTCCCAGATCTCTTGTATAGCATGAACAGATACTGTAAGAAGACACAAAAAAATAATTACTGAAAAAATAGAAATAATATAATGATACAAAATAAATATATTAGCCTCATTAGTTAATAGTGGCAAAGTACAACAGTAATCCAGATTCAGTTGTAATCTAGGGTTAATTTCAGAAGAAAAAAAAGTACTACATAAATATGTATTGTTTTTCTTTCTTAAGAATACATATAGTGTTTCTGAGTTCATCTGCTAATTATGTGAAAAATTAAATTAATCCCATTAAAATGAGACAAGTGAATATAACAGGCTCAGGTCCCAGCATGAGTATTATTTGTATCTACCTCCAAAACCTAACACATGCATTAGTTTTTAAGATGATAACTGAGCATTTTAAATGATTGATTTGTAACTGTGTAACTAATTTTAAGTAAATATCACTATTGTAAGACACTTAAGTCAAAATTAAATCTATAACGGCTAATAAAACTAAAAAAAACAGATAAAAAGTTGATCTTGTTTAAGAACTACAGATTCCTTGTATTCAAAACTAAAGAGAAGTACATGTAAGTAAGATTTGGTGGCTAACAATAAATCTAATTTAAAAAATGCAAAACAAATAGTTTGTTAATAGCTGAAAATAGATAATAGAAAGTGTAAGATTTTACTTAAACTAATTTTTAAGATTTTTCCCTTCACTTGTTTTCTGTAGCAATCTATCTAAACTAGCCCAGAAGAATAGCTGCATAACTTTTAGGGTTAAATACACAAAATATATAACAAGCCGCATCTTACACAAATACATCAGAGAAATGTTTCCTGTATTATCAAACCACAAGAGAATATTACTTAGCACTTTGATTTGTTGAGCAAATACAATAAAAAAAAGGTATTTACATAAAATAAAATGATATAGTAAGTTTTTTATCCTTTAGATTGTGGAGAGAACAAACTAAACCTGACAGTTCAGTTACTGGCATAATTGCCACAATGGCAAGAGTTTAAAACTAATCTTAAACATCACTGGTCATGAATACATAAATTGAAAAAAATTTTGAACAAAAGAAAAAAATTAGGTGAATATTGCAACTAAACCTTCTTAAAAAATTAAAAGAAAATGTTTGGTCAGAAATTAAATTTTCCTTTCAGAACAGCTTATATTTACATATTTCTCACATTTTTAGCTGAGATATAGTTGTTTATATGTATAATACTTATTATCCTCCTACACAAAGAACTAGCTTAAGACATAAAACATGTAAGTTGTCAAAGCAAGAAAGTTGAAAATTCTTTATGCTTATTCCAAGTGATGGACTATTTTTTGACTGTATATATTTTTTAGCATGTTACTAAAAAGTTTGCAAAAATCTTGTTTTAAATCCATAACAGATATAAACTCTGCAATTAAGCATGATGTTCCATCTCATATAGTAATGCTAGAAAATACTAGTTTTAATACCATTTCCTGTACTCTGAAGAAAGTGAACTCCAAACTGTTCTTTGGGTATAAAGTTGTGGCCTTCAGTTTGTACGATTCTCCGTGGCTGAGGCCACAAAAGATGAAGACGACTATCAGTCACCAGAGGTAGATGAGAAGTAGCAAGTGGCATTAAAGTTGGGAGCTCAGCTGTCTAGTAGGCAGAGAAACATCAATTTTCATTTATTTTCCAAACCTATAATGTAAATTTTCATTAAGAATGCCTATGAAAGAGCAGTTTCAGGAAAGTTTTCATTCAGTATAATGCTGACTACTTCATGTCAACATAATAAACTGGACTTTTAAATATACCAGATATCATTTCTTAAAGTTTACGTATGTTCATATAAATGCTCTTTTACTACTGAAAATAAGAGTATATACAATATATATATTTTTTAGTATATTTCACTCCTTAAAACAAAACTATCATCCAAAGCATATTACTGTTCAATTTTCTCAAACTGATAATCAGTTTTTATCATCTCCAAGTTCTTTTATCTGTAATCAATAGAGACATCTTGTCTATGGTAGTTTTTCTCAGACTTTCTGGTGTTGAATATGATAAAACTTTGCAATGATAATTAAAAGGTGAAGTATACAAACTAATGACAAGTAATATAAATATTAAAGTATAAAATCACAACTTTTATGTAGATTGTACTGTTGGTTTAGAGTTATCAAAGGCTAAAAACCATCTCACTAAGATTGCATTTTAGTATGGTGCAGACTGGAAATAGTTAAATACCAAAACAATGTTTATTTTGTGATATCTGTAAAGTATGTAAACCTAAACAGTGTGGTGGTAAAACCTTTTGTGCCAAAGAACCAACTAAATCCTAATAAAATTACAGCCCTTGGATTATACATACATATGGAGACTGCATTTCAGACATTTAGTTTGTTTATAACTATCAGCGACTTATCAATTTATATTACATAGCCAGATGGCATATCCGAGTCATAAAAATGCAACTGGTATATCATCTGTATTTTATATAGCATCTTGACATCATAAAATATTATTAGTATGTTCTTTTTAAAGTAAAAAGTAATAAAAGCATAGAAGCGATGTTACGGTCCACTCTAGTAACACTATACTACTGGTTCTGTCCTTCCCAATTACAGCTTTAGAGGTTACAGCAAAAAGCACATTTCAGACAAGGAGTTAAAAACCACAAAGACATCACTTTACGACTACAAAATAAGTAGATAAAGTTCAGAAAATATAAACAAGGAACATTTAATATGACCTTTTGGTGAAAAAAAATATTCTAAATATAAATATCAAATGAAATTGTTGACAAGGATTTTGTTTAATGCTTATTGATTTTAACTGAGATAACATTAAAATGTACTTACACTTGAATGTTGTACATTAGTCAATAAATTTCTACTCTAAAGTTTGAAAACAGAATTCCTGTATTACAAGTTGAATAAATACCAAATTAAAAACTCAACTCTGAATTTAATGTATCTAAACAGTTTCTGAACACTGAGATATAAATTACTTTCTCTTCAGGAAAAGGCCTCAAGAAAGATCCTATTAATTATCATAGTTTATTTGTTGAATCTTGCACAAAGCTAATAAAGGAGTATTTGCACTAGCCATCCTTAATTTTGAGGTGAAAAACTAAAGGAAAGACATCTAGTGAGTGCCACCCCACCTACCACCAGTTCTTAAGCTACTCTAATCAAATAGTGGGAGTTAACCATCGCTCTTATCACACACCCAAGGCCCCAAAGTGCATATCAAAATGCTTATATTTTATGGGATGCAAACAATGTTAGTTTTACTGTCTTTATAAATCTTAAATTAAAATTTTTATAAAGTATATTAAACATTATAAGTTTCTTAAATTACTAAAGTTAACAAGCAATCAAAAAACCTGAAATAAAAAAATGGATATGAAAAATAAAAGCATATAAACTGGGAACACTCACAATGTCACAAAAATTAATATTTACAAAAGTTATTTATACATATTAACCCACAGTTAATTCAATTCAGCATTATACTAACTAACTAACTTTAATTCAGAAATCCCAATGTTTGAAACTAATATTGTATCACTCATCACCTGATGTGTAACAAAAGACTCTTGTCTGGAAGGAGAATCTCCCGAGGTTAGTGACAATCGACTAACACTAGGCGTAAGATTCCCATGGTCTGCACTAGCCAGAGATTCCAATGATAAGCTCTGAATATCTGCAACATCTGTCACGAATTGAAAAATGATATTAATAAAACAGTGCACAAAAACTTCCATAAAAACAGAAACAGAGAAACAAATAATAAACTACTCTTAAAAAAAAGTAAAACTTTAAATAAAACTGTTTATTGGAATTCATTTAATGACTAATTTTTTGTGATCACAACTTAATATTCTAAATTACTCTACAGCTTTTTTCTGTATTAAACGTTGTTAAGCTTCTTTACTTTTTAATGCCTTTTTTATGACTAAAATGCTATGAAATTTTCCAAAGAGTACAAAAACTCAATATCTTGAAAATCACAGTGACATATACACCCATGAAAATGGCATGATATGAAAATGAGGGAATACCAATAAAAAATTAATGGAATTATAGATATTTTAAGATATTTCACTGTAATTTCTAACTTTAAATCTATTGCACAATTTTCAATTATTGTGATTTGTATATATTACATCTGATTTGTTTGGAATTTTGTGCAAAGCTACACAAGAGCTATCTGCACTACCCATCCCTAATTTAGCAGTGAAAGACTAGAGGGAAGGCAGCTAGTTATCACCACCCACTGCCAACTCTTGGGCTACTTTTTTACCAACATTTTAATGCTCCAACAGCTGAAAGGGCAAGCATGTTTGGTGGGATAGGATTCAAACCCATTTTAAATTGTATCGAAACCCAGTTTCTAGCATTGTAAGTCTGCAGACATACTGCTCTGCCACTGGGAGGGCTTTAAATTTAGGATTGTTTTTTTTTAAAACAAACCTACATTCGGCTATCAACCACGTTGACCACAGTGAATCGAATCCTGGTTTTTAGCATTGTAAATCCTTAATCTTACCATTGTCTCACCATAGGACTATATATTACATATGGAAAAGGAGACACAAATTTGTTCTAACTTAAGATCAGCAATGTATACACATTATTTACATGAGAAATGGACATCCAAAATCATCTGTAACATTGTAAAAGTAATTCACACTAAATATTTGTCCTTACTAGTTCTGAACAAGTAAACACACACACATATATATTAACAATGGCAAGGTATAATCATCATGATATTTCTTTTTAAGCTCGACTTATTACTTCCACACAAACCATTTTTTAGGTATCTCGAATATACATTAAAAAATATCAAATGTGCAAATTTCCAAATAAGAGGAAAACCATTTTATAAAGAAAGAATGTACGAATGCTTTGAATCTTGTGTTATTATAACCAATCACAAAGCAAGCACTGAGGGTGAAAACTATGCACTGAAGTAACCAAATGTTTTAAGTATGTACTTGCCATGACCATCTGCTAATGCTTCACAAGTTCCTATATGACCAGAACACAAAACATGATACATTTCTGAATTTTCATCTGCTAAATCCACTGGAGATTTTCCAGCAAACTTCCTGCAAAATTAGAAAAAACGAAAAGGTCAGCAAAGTAGTCTTTGTATAGCAACATAAACTAACTTTTGATTTATACAAAATGTTTTTAATAAAATGAAATTTCAACTTTGAATAAGGGCAATTAACACTTATGATTTACATCTACTAGAAAACATAATTAAAAATAGTGTACCTAACATATTATAACATTCACATTGTAGAGGTAAGTTCTGGAATGTGTAGTATTAGAAAATTGTTTATGCAATGGTTAGGTAAAAAATTGGCACTTGTCTCACTAGGTTTAATATGGTGTTGCCCCCCCCCCAAAAAAAAGTCTTCAAGACAGAAATAACTTAGCTGTCCAGTAGAGCAGCAAGATGTTAGAAGGTTTCAACAAAATGCTTTCACTATTCCTCAAAATGAATTGCCTCTAACTGCTTCAGGAGTGTTGCAGTTAGAATGTAGTACTGGAAGCTGGTTTCAAGAAAACCATATGTCTGTTTGATAGGACTAAGATTTGACCATTGAAAAAGTCAAGGTCAATTGGAAAATTCCATTGTGCTCATCAAATCACTTTACAATAAATAATAACTTGTAGATAAGTGAGTTGGTACCTTGAAAGAGTAATTACAAACAAGGTCAAGGTGACACATCATATCATGACTTTGGCTTCCAAGAACATTTTTTAGTAATTAGCTGTTATCCTGTATTTTAATGCAATAACCAGACCAAGTCCATACTAATAAAATGCTGCCCTTCCCATAACAGAACTGCTTGATAATACTTGGAACCAAACATTTATGATGCATGCTTTCTTAGGCTGTCACCACACATACATATGTCCATTTGATGACAGGAAGATGAATGTTACCTTATCTGATCAAATCATTGTTTGTCACTATTCCATAGCCTAGTCTATTGTTCACTGCATCAGTCCATGCAAAAATTCATGATTATAGGAATAATGATTGGCTCTACCACGATATCCCATAAATGATGATGTTTTTTTTTCTTGTGGAGTCACAAATCACTCATAATGGTCTTTCTACCACTACTGCTTTTTTTGTTCCTGAGATTTGATCAAATATAATGAACACTGACATTACCTTAGAGAATGCAATACCAATCTGAATGGTCTTAACATTTGAAATTAGCTCTTCCTGGAAAACATGATGTAAGGAAATGATGCAGAGCAAGGATGACTAGCCCTTACTTGCAATATACATGACATCTGGAAATAAGGCTGAATGTGCTTTGCATACTCAATGCACAGACTTATTCACATATGGAAAATACGTTCAAATGGCCAATGAAACTGAGGTGCTTTCATTTTTTGTCCAGTCCCTAGACATGTCTCACAGTTCAACTAAAACAATTAAGACTGACAAGAAAAGGTTAACACGTATATTTTAAAAACCTGTACACAGAAATACTTGTTAAACTAGAATGTACTGTAAATATCAGAGTTCTTTCTGTTTGAAGATGGAAACATTTTTCTGATAATTTCAATTTAAAACTCCAGCTTAAGACTATTGAAACTAGAGTTTTTGACTGATTACACCTCTTGATTGCTTTTCATACAAAAACTTCAAATAAACAGACTATTGCTAGATAGCTGATTGAAGCCTTTTATCATGTTCATAAATGTATATTAATAAATGATATTACTTCATGTTACCTTACAGTAGTAATAATTTTCATTTATGTTTCAACAATATCCTAAAATATATGCAAATTCTTCTTTTTGTATAATCTACAATTATGAAGTGCCCAGATGCACAAATATTAATATTTTGACATTTTATTGCATTTTGGCTTCTCAATTCTTTAAAATAGAAGGTACTTTATATAGTCTATGCATGTATGCTGTATAAAAATTACAGTCAACATTCAGGTAAAGATGTTTTGTACAAACACAAACCATTTCTGACTCAGCATGACAGGCATCTTAGATTATCACAAAGCATCATATTGTACTTACTTAATAATATGCTGTATATGCATTTCAATATCTTGAAATATAAGATATAAATTTAAAACAAGAAATACTCTGAACATTTTTCTACAAAACTTTACCCTTTAACTGCCTTCACGAAAGGATTGGCCCCTGCATCTAACAACTTCTCCACAACTCCAATATCACCACGTTGCACAGCATCATGTAAAGGAGTAGCACCCATGCCATTTACTGTATTTACATCAGCACCATAGTCTGTTTTTATGATAGAAAAAAATAATCAAATATAGACATAGAGTTTTTTAAGCAAACTGAAATTGCAAAATGTTTCTATATATATGCAATTAAAAATAAAATTTGTATGTTGTAAGCTTAACACCAGCTCTTTTTCTTTTTTTTTTTGTTTTTACAACAAATTATGAGAGAATTATTGAAAGACAAAATACGTACAGACCATTTTGAAAAATTTACCTATAAAGTGCAACGACCAAGAAAATTATGATTTAAAATAATTACACAGCTTTTCCATATTACATATTTATTCAATGTACTAAACAAGATAGTAGCATGGACTTCTATTTAAATGTTCAGTGTAATATTCTCTACAAGATGCAACAGATTCGAATGAGCTACTGCTAACAGTGTTATTTCAAATAATTCAAAACCACTGTCGTTTTTAACCATATTTACACAGGTGTGGGTCCAAGTGCGCGAGTCATGACTTTTTATAGTTATATATGTGAATAAACTTGACACCAAAACTTAGTTTATAATTTAAATTTTAATATTATATAAATCTTAATTTCTTAATCTCAAAAGAAAATATTTAAATAAATCCTTAATATTGAATTCTCTGTACCACGACACTTCTTTGATCCAAATTACCCATTTTAGATCTCTTTTTTTTTCTACTCCTATATGAACTCGTGAGTCTGGCATAAATTTCCCACTTAAAGTATAGATATTGCTAAGACATAAATGTATTGCTTTCAATCTTCTTGCTTTACTGAGATGTAGAACAAAAAATCAAACCCACTTAACATGCCTTATCACATCCTGTCTTTCAAAAGAATGTCAATAATTCTCTCCGAGGTTTGTTTTTGGATTATTTATAACAAACAGAAATTTCAATTTACTGCTTTCCACATCAAACTAGCTCATTAAAACTTCAGTCTTTCAATTATTTGGCCAACAGATTCATTGTTACTATTACTGAGATAACCTTGACCAGGTAAATGACTTATTTTAATAAACTTATAGGTTAATTAGAAACCCAGTTAAGTTCCAATAGTTTCAGGACATTGCTAATTGTTGCATGTTAATATTTTGTGTTACAAGTTGCATACTTGAATATCAGAAAAATAATTTTACATACTATGAACAATCCTACTATAAAATAAGGTTAATATTTGACACGGAATAAAAGATTGAGTGCAAGAGTCCACGTAATTGCTAAATTTCATTTTACGTTTCTTATTTATTTACTGTTAAAAAAAGTAACTTACTAAGTTATATAAGAAGACTTCAAGGTAAAAAATTAAAATAAAATTTTCTGTGAGATATGTATGTCAGCTGCTCATGCATCCTATAATTTGATACTTTGTTTACCATACTTTGAGCTATGCTCTCAATGGATTAATTGCTTTGCTACAATATTAGTAGTTAGACACAGTTGAAAAAGCAACAAAACAATAAAACTAAATGAAATCATCTGTAAAAATGTTTAAGGACCTAAAGCTATCAAGATAAATAATTGTCATTTTGATTTTGTTTGATATTTTTAAACTTTTGCTATAAATGATTTTGCTACAGTTAGTGTTAGGCTAAAGAAATTAAGAGATAAAGTTCTAACATAAAAACCTTTGATATTCATTTAGGATGCTGTCATGATATAAAAGCCTGTTGTTGGGTTTAAATATTAGTGATTATTTTATATTTGTGAGTGAAACTTTATTATTTTTAAGATTTGTTATAATAAGAGTTAAAAGCAGACGATTGTAGAAGGTTTTGTTAATAACTAATTGGTGTCAAGAATATAGAAAGTGGCCAGACGACTATGTAATAAAGATATAAATAGCCTGAGACGAGCGGAAAGCAGCAGACAGATAACAATAGACAGATAACAGTGAAAGAGAATATAGCTGTATGAAGTTAAGTACCATAGATGTGATAGGTCTAATGTTTAATATGTTAGAGTGAAACTAACAGTATAAAAAAGATAAGAAGGATAATTTTATTCCGTCAAAGCATGGATCTAAAGTAATTGAATCGGCCTGGGTACAGAAGACCAAACGAATTACGGTAACTTTCGCCACAACTGTAAGTGAATCACACACAGAATACTAGTACGATAGTAATATAGAGAAGATAGTTTGACTTGTCAACTGAAATTCTAAAGTAATTGAATAGGCCTAAGTGGACTTTTGACAAAATGAAGAGAACTATATATATAAGTAGTGTTTATGATATGCCTGTAATCTCTGTAGCGTAAAGACTATGTTGTACATACGTTTAACTTGTTCTGAATATATATATATATTATTTGAAAACAAGTAAAGTGTGTGCTATTTATTCATCATTGAACTTATCACTAACAAGTCACAGACACCTATTGTAGAAGAATCCTAAGCCCAACAACAACATAGTATATATCTATACTATTAAGAAATATACGTAAAAGCCATTTATTTCAACAATTGGCAAAAAGAACTTATATATATATATATATATATTATTATTATTTTTAAAATCTGACAGATGCCATGGAGATTATGTAAATGAAATATGAAACTGATTATGAAAAAAATATTTTTAATCTTAATACGAAAATCCCTTGCACTCAGATTAGTCAGAGTCTGAGTCAGACAAAATCACAGACAAATCTTTAATAACAATACTTTATTAAAAAATGATTTTCTGTGTACAACAGATTTTTCATGCTTACTAAAAGCATGCCAAATTTTGTGAAGATACACATAATAAATATATATAAATATAGAAAAAGTTAATAGTAGTATAAGATTTTTTAAGAATATTACTTGTTAGTTAACTAATATTATACACAGAATATTTCAAAGTAGTTTTTTTTTTGCATTGTTCATATTAAAGATGTTTTAGAGTTAGGAAACAGCAGTTATAATAATCAAGATTACTAATGAATTAAGCAACCACATGTGAATATAAAATCATTCCACTTTGTTTGCATGGGCAATATCTGGTTCATAAAAAGCCAAGCTGTTTACCTTAAAACTAGATTTTCTATCATGAAAACACAGAAAAAGTATCAAATCTTTACCACTGTAAATTAATCTGTCAAGAACATACCATTAACTCAGGGTTAGTAAAAAAGTCCAATAATGAGTTTAACGTAAATTTAAAAGTGGTGACAGAAGGTCAGAGCAATGACCTTACTTAGTACGAGTTAAATAAACATTCTCACTTAAGATTATCCTTGAACTGTATGCATCAATAACGTTACATTTCCGGGTCCTGAGAACAAGGAGTTCTTGTGTGGAACTTGTGACCTGTAGTTTTTGCTTAATGTGTCCACTATGTGCTACATACCAATAAGCAAGAAAACAACTGAAAATCCTGAATAAAAGCTGGGTAAAAATCACAGTAAGTCAATGTGCATTGGAGGCCTACAGCTGTACCAAATGAATCACCAGAAAGACATGTCCTCTACTCCACCTGTGGAATGTCTCAGCTTAACAGTAAGTATTGTTTTTCTATATGTAACTAAGATTTTAAAGGTTTGTTAAGTACCAGCTCTTAAGTGCTTTAATGTACTAAGACTACAATTATCTATTGTTAACAGAACGTTTAATTAATGTACTGTTTGATGTATCTATGTTTTCATTTAGAAACCCTCTGACTCATTTCTTATTCTCAAGTAAATTTAGTTGAGTTAGTGACCTATGTGAAAATCCCATTGACTGTATTCCTGGTATTTTAAATAAATGCTCTTTGAACAAGTAGCTGTCCCTATGACAGTGCCCATTACACCTGTCTGAATGAATTATGCAAATTTTATTTCTTCTACAAAAACAAATGTTAATATATTTCTATATTGCAAAAAAGGAGCATAAAATAGCTACTTTGGGGATTTGGAAAAGCTGCTGTATGGCCTCAAGTTTTCACTTAGTTTATGCATCTTCAAATAACAACATGTATAAAAAAATGCCTGAAAAACCAATGGATCCAACTTTGTACCAACATATATCTATCAAAACTGTGACACTAATATATTACACAACGATACATACCTAACAAACATTGCACAACTTCCACATTACTAAAGCTTGCTCCCCAGTGTAAAGCTGTGTTTCCACTACTTGGACAGTCTTGAGCATTCACACTAACTCCTGCCTGAAGCAGCTGAATAATTCGTCCTATACTGAACATGTATTAAAAATTTCTGATCAAAAGTAAGCTAAACATATTTTTATTTCCTTACAAAATATAACTGAAAAGAGAGATCATGCATAAGGGTTACACATTTCATAAAATGATAATCTTCTGAAAGAAAAAAAAAGATACTGTTGAAATATTAAATAGAATAACGATTCACAAGTTTAGATAGTATTTTTACCTACAGCAGCATGGTCTACTCTTACACACACTCATTATTAATTATGTTTATTAATTTAAAACATTTAACTAGAAAAACAAATATTAAGAGAAAAATTCCAATCCACCAAATCATATACATATAATAGGTTGGACCATCCTAACCTACAAAAATAGGGTACATGTATTTCCTTAGTATTTGCAGTTTGTCAGATAAGCTTAACTTCACAGGCAAGACAATTAAGAAAATTTTAAAGCGATTAAGTGTTCCACATGCATTTTACCAAGGAAAGTTAACATTTTCCTAAACTGAAAATGCATTTCTGATAGATACTTATTTCTGCTCACAAAAAGCTTTCTCGACTTGCACCCCTCCATCAGAACAAATGTTTGCTCGCCACTAGCCTTGTTACTCCCACTTATTACTGCATACTAATATGCAAATAATCATGCAGCAACCCTCCATTAATAGGAGTGCGACACTACCCCTATTGTAACTAGCACCCTCTCTAATTATGCACATGTTAATCACTTCCAGATTGGTCATAACTTACCAAACCAATTCACACCAGAAGTGGGGAGGACTGGTGGGAAATGTGAGAGGAGGTGTCTATTGGAAATACATTTTCAGTTTAGGAAAATGTTAATTTCTGATACAATATCTTAACTCCTCTCACAAAAAGCTAGAATCCCACACTGAACTGGTGTAGGGCCAGTGAGAAGATGATCCTCCTTTAGGAAGCACCAAAAGGAAGAACATGAGGTGTGATAAGGAATTAAACACAACACACCGGTAAAAGACTGCACCACTTCTGAGCTAGGTATACTCTTTGACCTTTAGTAATGTGTCACCAAAACGTAAAGGATGGGAACTTGGAGAGGTCCCCCCAAAAAAATACAGAAATAACGGGATCCCCTGGTGTAGAATGGCTAGGGTGCAACAGACTGTAAATGGGAGTTCAACCCCAACCAACACCTGGCAGCATCTGGAATTGAACATTAGGTCTGTGGTAGGAAGAAGGTCCTCTACCTTTCACATCAAAAATTAGTACAGGCATGAAAAAAGGATCCCGTACCAAGAACCCGTCTCCACATGTGCACACCTCCAACACAATCAACACCAGATCCACTGGGAACTGACATCTGGCAGATGGTAGGAAGGAGGAGAGCCCAGGTGGGTGTTCATCCCTGGTCCAAAACCTGGCAGCATTGGAAATTTTGCTGACCAGCCTTACACAAGGAGGAAGTTATGTGTCTCCTCCAGCTACAACCAACACCAGATCCACCAGGAACTGACATCCAGTGGACGACAGAAAGAGGGACTGCAAGTTTAGGATTGCATCTCCAGTCCTAACAGGGAATTTATCATCCAGTCTGCAGTAGGAGGAGGGTACCAGCCAAACCAATGTGAGGACTTGTATGCCTGGACCACCTACAACCAACACTCGAACCCTGGGAACCTACATCTGGAGGGTGTCTCAGCTGGAGGGGCAAACAGCAATATATATATGGCAGAGTGCTACATCCTACACCTGGTGGCATCTAGAATTTACATCAGGTCCATGGTAAGAAGGATGTCATGCCATTGAAAACCGCAGAATACCCCCACCCTACTCTCAACTGAGTGGTATTGTGCACACTCGGGATGACAAGACTCCATGGTCCACCACCCAGGCAACTAGAAAAGTGGCAAGGCCTCCTATACTCCACTAGAAGGAGGGAAATAGTGCATTGGAGAGTCCAGAGAACTGCAGCACCAGGGACAGTGCAATGGGTAACTGCAATACCCTATATTGAAAAGCAAAGTGATCACATTGACGGAATGCATCTTCCAACACCTGGCTGCATCTGAAATTGTACATCAGTTCAGTAAAACAAGCGTCAAAAGCCATGGATCATCAGAAATGGGCAGTGATCCCTGTCTGCTTTACTCAAGTTAGTCCACGAGTGTACGGTTCAGGACAAACACATTTATGAAGCAAAAGACCATAAGGTACACCTACAAGCAGTCCAACAGAATACCCCATTTTAACAGTGGGCATAAAATGACCTTTGATATGTTATTTTGTCACTTTTCCTACATTTTATAACAATGCATATAAGACATATTGGACAGAGTTGATTAACCAACACCTGGCAGGATCTGGAATTGTACATCAAGTCTGTGGTAGTAAGAGTCTCAATGTCACAGTCTAGCATATTCACTGGTCATACAGTGCAGATTTAAGACTAGGTATACCTGGTGAGGCAACACTCACCACAGAATGGGATCCAAATATACAATAAAAGCCCCTGCAAAGAAAAATGACCAGAGTACTTACCACCAGAGATAAACAGTTACAGCAATGATGATGTCCCCCAAGGGTAGATGGAAATGTGCAGCCAGGGACATGGTAAGGTGACAGATCTGATGGGATGAAAGCAAGAAAAAGCAACAAACATCAGGAGAATGGTAAGAAAATGGCAGGCAAATTAACTGGTGAATTCAACACAAAGGGGTAATGGGAAAAGGTCACAGGAGAGGTGAGAATTTCATTATGTGTCACATACCCTCAGAGAGCCCTGATCTGACAAAAGAGGTGGAGGGATCAGAAGATTCGAGAAGGGCAGGGGTGGAATGTAGGAAATGGGAGATAAGTACAGAACATAACATACCTGAATAACAAATCCACCAAAGGTGAAAAAGGTCTGAGCAAGTCCATTGAAACGACACATGACAAAGAAGCATATTCAGGAGGGGAGAAAAAAGGCTGTCCAAATCCAAAACTAAAAGAATACTGAAAAACTTGTAAGGACAATCAACAATGTGTTCTGATTGTTGCACGAAAGTGTTCAGCTCCTGACGGACCAGAACCGTCACTTTATGGGCCAAGAATCATAGTTTCGACCAGTAAGACATGGTCAAGAATTCCATTGCCACAGTAAAAGCAGTTATAAAAAACTGAGAGTACATAACTCCTGAAATTGAAAGAGGAGAGAAGATAAAATAATATAAATCATCAATCTCCAAGAAACAGAACAAAAATGTAAAATAACAAATTAACTGAAGGAGAAATTTACAAAAGTAAAAGGGTGTGGACAGGTTAATTAAACCATAAGCAAAAAACACATCTAATCAGTAGGACTGCCAATCAAGAAGTGATTAACATGTGCATGATTAGATAGGGCATTAGTCACAATAGGGGGTTGTTTTGCACTCCTATTGGTGGAGGGTTGCTGCATGATCATTTGCATGTTAGTATTCAGTAATAAGTGGGAGCAACAAGGCTAGTGGTGAGCAAAAATTGGTGCCGATAGAGGGCAGTACAAGTTGAGAAAGCTTTCTGTGAAAGACAGTGAGATATCAAATCAGAATAAAATCTGAGACATAATTTCTAAAATCATCTTGAAAATTGGATTCAATATATAGATCTCAGTATGGTTTCTAGAAAAAGCTTTTTGATGTAACTTTTGTTATTTTCTTTTTTACTTCTAGATGAAGGTACTCCTATTGAAAAAAATTCTGTATTACTTTCAGAGAGCTTTGGTAAGTTGCTTCATAAAAGTATATTTTACTTCAGAGTTGAATTTTTTAAAACTGATAGAAAAATTAACCAATGGATAAAATATTTGCTTGGAGAAGATAAATGATCATTTTTCCAGTGGGAAGAAATTTCAGGACTGGAAGAAAGATACAGTGGTACATGATTTGGGATCAGTGTACATTACTTAAGTGAACATTATAGATAGCTATATAGTCCGTAATATTTTCAAATCCGCTACTGGTATTAACATGCAAAAATGAATAATTCCATGAACAACGGTTAATTTTTTTTCAAAAGGTCTGTGAATGATTTGGCTGGAATGTAGATAATGAGCTAAAATGCTATTAAGAAGTGTAAAGTAAAAAATTTTGGAATATGAAGATTTGAGAAAACTTTCTTCTTGTTAGAGAGGAACACTGGTGATGTTATGGCCCAGCATGGCCAGGTGGTTAGGGCACTCGACTCGCAATCTGAGGGTTGTGGGTTCGTAACCCCGTCACACCGAAACACGCTCAACTGGTGTCCGAACTAGGATGTCAGTCCTACTCCCAGGTACTCACCTCCAACAAAATTTGGAGGTGTGAAAAACACCATACGAAACTACTACTGGTGATGTTGAAAAGACTTTTGATATAAATACTGGTATATGACTGATATTTTCAACTGAGCATATTCCAAATATTATGATCAGTTTTGGTCCCTTTATTACAGGAATGATAAAGACAAACTAAAAAAAAGAGTGCTGAAATTGGCTACTACAATGAAACTTGTTTTTTAACAAAATTAAGGGTACAAAAAGAAGTCTTCAGAGTTATGAATTATCTTCTCTAGAGATGAGTAGATATCAGGTGATTAAAACTGCTATGGATTTGGAAAGACTGTCTAATGGAACTGTTTAAGATGTGGAATGACAATTTGAAAAAAGTAAAAGCTACAGAGGTTTAGACTTTTTTCTTTGGCATAAGTATAGGAACTTATGAGTGAAAGTAAAGATGAATGTAAACAATATATAAACCTTACTATAACTCCTGTATTCACTGTTGACTAGAGCTTGGCAATTAATGGAATTTAATAATCAAGTAATCACTGCGTACATCATTTGATTACATTCAACTAAACAATGATTCTCACATGTCACTTGGAGAGTTTGAAGTAATCAAAAATATTAATATTCAAAAACTAATTTTAATTACTTGAATATTTTCATGAGTTGTGACACTAATTGATTAATGTGATCAATCTTGAATTAATCACAAATTATACAAGAAATCGTAATGGCCAAATTTCAATTACTTGGATAGTTGGAATAAGTGAAAACAATAGTTATCAGAAACAATACTTCAATTACTGGATTATTTTTGTGACTTTAGTCGATTTAATCATAATTTTGATTAATCTAGTTCGCCACTCAGCTCTACAGCCAACAAAGCTGTTTGGCCAATACCATGGCTCATCAAGCCAGCTGGGATAAGATAGATTCAGTAAACTACGCTAACAACAACTGTTATGGTGTCAACTAGACTGAGTTTGTTAAGTATAATTTTTTTAAGTATTTTATAAATCAGAATTATTTTCCTGTCAACAACAAATTATTACTTATATATTTTAACAACAGCAGTTTATTATTATTATTATTCATTTTTTTACTATAATCAACTTTTTGCTTATCATTCAGAAGAACTGTCAAACCAACAAGCTAGTCTTCTTTTTTCCATAGTGAATCAAGCAACCACAATGTTAATAGAAGATAACATTAGAAATCCTTGGAAATTATGAGTGAAAGCAAAGACTGTAACTGTTATATCCAGTGCCAACAAGGCCTTCCACCCAATATCAGGGTTCACTAGGCCTGCTGGGATATGACAAACATAGATGTAGTTGAGATGCTATGTATATTATCAAACTGTGTAAACAACGGCTTTTATGAGCTAGATTAAATTAGTGAAATGCAATTTTTATAAATTTTCATTTAAGCCATATACAAATCTGAATTAGGATATATTTTAATAACAAACTATTGTTTATTTATTTTAACACCAATCATTTATTATCACTATTATTAATTTTTACTTTAATTAACTTGAATCATCATCAAGAACAAGCAAGCTAGTAGTTATACATATATTGAATGTTTTGTTTAATGAATATGGTATTGGAGAGTGCACTAGCATTCTGTGTGTAGGGATGGTAAAAACACTCATATTAAATCGATACAAAAGTCATCTGGATTTTCTTCTCTACAAGTTGTCAGAAGCTAGATATCAAGAGCTACCTGGCACAGTTGCTCTACCTTTGGTGTATATGCTTGAAAACTGGCAAACAGTCAAAACCGAGATTTCTTATTTTTGTTCATCATCATCTTTCTTCAATAGAGCTATTGCCCATCTAATTCTAGCAATAACTACAATTTTATCATCAGTTGATAAAGCAAAACAGTCTTCATGATCTTTGACTACCTATTTTATTATTATTCTATGCAGAATTTGAAAAAAAAAGAAAAAATCATAATTTAAATGTAAACAATGTTATTACCCCTTGTAGTTAGCTTTCTTACAGAAATCTGGTGTTCCTTTAAAAAACTTAAGTACAGGATGAAACAGGAATTACCAGTCAATAACAGATTAAAATTAGATGACTGTAACATGTAGAATACTCAATGCTTTGTACACTATACAGCCATTGTCTTTAGGGAGCCAATTCCTATATTATGTATGAAGCGAAGGAGTAAAAAAAATCAATACACATACAGGTCATCAAAGGCTAGATATGAAGAGCTACGTAGCATAGCTGCTCTATCTTCAGTGTATATGTCACTTTTTAAATATCCAGAAAGTCCCAAAATTGAAAACTGCAAATATCCAAAACCAAGATTTCTTATTTTCTTTCATCATCATCTTTCTTCAACAGGCCTAACGCCTACCGAGCTCTAGCTGTAACTACAGTTTTATCATCATTTGACAGAGCAAAACAGTCTTCACAATCTTTGACTATTTATTTTATTATATGTAAAATTTATAAAGTTTTAGAATACATTCCATAACCTAGTAACCATGTATGCCATCTAATAAAAAAAATACAAACAAGTATAAGGAAAAACTTTATCACTAAATAAATAAGCTACATAGGAATGGCTATTGAACTTGAAAAAAGGAACCAAACAAGATAGAGATGGAAGTGCACATATCATCTGATTGGCTAATGATCACATAGCAGATTAAGCTGTCTACTTTACATGGAGAATAAAATCCCTATATTACCGGCAAAACAAATAGAACCAGAATTTCTAATTGTAAAATGTCACTCTACTGTAAAATAGTCATAATAGTAGTATTCAAAAGTTAACTACACGAAAGATATATTGATGAAAGCTGAGATTCTATTCAAACAACAAGCTATCAACAGACAAAATGGAAAAACCAGTAATGTAGGGATTTTATTCTTCATGTAAAATTGAGACAGCTTAGTCTGCTATGTGATCATTAGCCAATCAAGTGATATGTCAACTTCCATCCCTATCTTGTTTGGTTCCTTTTTTTCAAGTTCAATAGCCAGCCCTATGTAGCTTATTTATTTAGTGATAAAGCTTTTCCTAATACTTGTTTGCAGCCTTGCATAGCTTTTTTATTTTGCGATAATGTTTTCCTTATAATTATTAAATTAATCCTACGAGCAAGGGTGGGGGTCAAATTGTACATGCCATGATCTATTACAGAGTGCCATTCAACATGGTATTATGTATTTGAAGTCAGTTATCAATTATTCATTTTTACCCTACATTGCTAATTTAGTGACAGTTCGTGATAACTGTAGATATGCATTTGAGAAGCTTTAGAAGTTATGCAATATGAAAATTGTAGTATGGACAAAATTATTCTTATTCTTCAAATAAACATCAACTTGCATTACAATTTATCAGAATCCGAGTCAGACTGACATCATCAATTCACAGACATATCTTGAGTACAAATACTTTTGTAATGCATCTGATTTTTTTGTATAATAGACACATAAATTTTAGTAAAAGGTTGCCAAATTTTGTGTTGATACACGTAGCAAATTTGGAACTATTGTCAACATTCCTTATCCAATATGAGGTTCATATAATGCACTTTTATTGAATAGATGTATAGAAGTTAAAAACACATCTAGTCTGCATTCAATGTCTCAGTCATTTTTTGTAGATGGCTAAAGGAGCTTATGGGTTTGATACCTTCTATTATCCTGCTTGTTTTTATACAGAGATCTTTGTTATTTAATTTGGTTGTTAAAATTCCATTTGCAAATAAATTTCTACAAATAAGCCTTGAAACTGCAGTTAAAAATACATATTGTTATCTTACAATAAAACACCTGATAAACGTAAATTTACAAAATAAAATTAAAAAAGTAAACCTATAATGTATCCTTTGAAAAAAGTAAATCTAGAATGTATCCTTTGGAAAAAAGTAAATATTTTCATGCCCAAAGAAAAAGTGTTAACATTTTTTACTCATCCATTAGCAGTAATCAACAGCAGTTTTCATATTGGTGAACTGATAAAACAAATATCTAAGGTAAGCTGAAAAAAAAAAATTCCATTTTCCTTCCTTGCTTTTCATTATGGAATTATTTACAAATATTCTCACTCAGACTGAGCTGTTGCCTTCAAGAGTTCTTCTGCATAAACCATTGCCATTCTGTCTGTAGCCACAAGGTCTAAAGGTGTCTCTCCTTCCTTGTTCTGCACTCCAGGGTTAGCACCCGCTGATAGCAAAGTGCGAACAATATCAACATGGTCCAACTAAAAGGTACAAAAATATTCAACTGAAAACTGTTGACAAATAAACAGATAAAATAATAAAACACAGTATTTACTCATAGAAGTTTTTATGAACATTTTTGGAAATATGAAGATAGCATAATGCAACAAAACAGATTATTTTTAAAATATTTCAAAAACATCAATATTCTACAGCACATTTTGTGTTTCATTTAATAACTTCACTGTTACTTGGATTTTATAAAGGTGTTATTAATTAACCTCAGCAATTTTACTAACTAACGTGTAACCCATCAGAGGCACAAAAGTAGAGAATAGATGGTTTACTAGTAAAAAAGTAAAGTTATAAGTGCTGACAAAGTACCAAGATGAAGGAAGGATGTAAACTTTGATGGTGAGATGCCTCCCCCAAGAAAATTTTGAAAAACTGAGGCCAAAATGGTGTATTGTGGGGCACTTCTGAGCATCATTTATACTATTATATTTCTGGCTTGTAACAAACATACACTTGTAAGTCCAAATAAACTATATTATATTTTAAAACTTGTATCTTCCCTGGCATAATACAAGGTGATGCATTCATTTCTATTAATAATTACAACATGAACCACTTCAACATTATTTCAGTTTTAATTGATATGCAAGACATTTATGGCCTTAAAGAAATATTGAGAAGTTGCTTTACTGCCATGGAAAAACAAATATGGCTCCTGCCACTCTAATGGTAGTACAGTAATTAATGGCCACATTCTTGAAGTTTTTTGCAGTACTGCACAATATCTGCACAGTTTAAACGGTAGAGCTGTAAAAATTAGTGCCCTCTAACTGCCAGAAGTTTCTACTGGTGCACTCATGAATAATTCAATTTTGTATAAAATAATAACAGAAAAAGTTGTAATGTCATTATTTGTGTTCATTATGATGATATCTGGTGAGTTCATTTGCTAAATTAATCCTATGCCAAATTTCACCTTTTGAAATAATAAAATAAATCATAATTAGTTAAATTACTTTTTATCACAAAATGTTGCTGCTGCACTTTGTAAAAAATTTAAAATTACTTCCACTGAAAAAATTCTGGGAGTGATTACTCCTTACAGAAAAAAATTATCTGGAGCACTGTTGGAGCTGTCTTCAGTCCTAAGATTTGACTTTAATTTTAAAGACAGAAAAATTTATAATTAGAAACAGTATCAAACTTATTGTAACATGAAGAAGAAAAAAATGCATATATACTAAAAATACCTTGGTTGCTAAATGAAGGAGTGTTCCATGTTGGGTATTCAAATCATTCAGCATGTCAATCACTGATGCTTGACCTTCACTGTTACCTTTACATTTAACAAAGTAAACATATTGGTTAAAAAACAAGTGTAAGGCTTTTACGATAAAAATAGACTAAACATTAGAATCTCATTCAGAAATGTTAATTCACACAGTTCTATATTACCTATACCTATATTACATATACCATGCATGCACAAATAATATGAAATTGCATCCAATTTACAATCATAAGGTCTGAAGCATTTGCTAGATTACAAATGCCGAAAGCTTCTTGAAAATTAGAATTTTCATATGTGTCTATATATACCTGTAAGATAAAGAAAGAACACACTTAGTTGCAAGGGCATGACAGAAACTTAACGAAGAACAGTTGACCAAATAAGAATATGAAAATGCTGAATAAATACACGAGTTAATTGAAAATGCCTTCCAGGCTGTAATATGAAACCAACAATTCTTCTTATCAGTATTGAACAGATGTGATCATGATAGAGAAAAGCAATGAATGTTTATATCGGACACCAACCTAATGGAAGTAGCCTTATATAAAACGAGTAGCATAACTTTGATGGGAAGTAGCAAGTGGAAGAGTATGTGTAAAAAGACCAAAGTTAATTGGTTCATATCCATACATTCTGAGTTAATAGGCTCCAGACTCTATCTTCAACTAATGAATGTTGAGAAACCAATTAGTAAATTAGTAAATGGTTTTAGTTTGGTGAAAGATCACAATTATACCAATCAGCATGAAAGAGTCACGTGTAATATCAAGCAGTTTGAACTTCATGATGAGTCATAGTTATACTAAGAAAGTAGTATAAAATGCCATGTTTTTCATCCAGGGAGCAAATTCCCACTTAGCCCAGAGATGCCACCAGACAACATATAAGAATGGCAGTGCTTCAGAGTATCGAGAATATCCATTGCACAAACTCACTGTAAGTAATTATTGCTATGTCTCTCTAGTCTAACAATGTACTTAGCAAATGATGTATTATGTCTGAGAATAGGGTAGTGTTACAAAAGACTATCATTATAGATTTAGCAAAACTAACTCAGAAAAAATATAGTTGTTGAAAGGTATTCTAGAGGAAGTTTTAATTGAATTGTTTAAACAAAATTATGTTTGAAAGTATATCTCATATTAACCTAATTGATAATTTGTTTGTTATAAGTGTCTATGTTGATGAATCTTGCAGAAGGTTTGATAAATAAACAGTTAACCATTTTGATATAGAATTATTTCACGACAATTTTAGTACTATTGATGTCAATGAATATTTGAACATTTTCAATTAAACCTTTACATTATACTTCAATAACCAGTTCCTGAATGAATTCTTTATTTCAAATGTTAACTTCTTCGAGTTAGTGGCTTGTGTGCATAACCCACAACTACATAACCTGGTAATAAATAAATTTGTAGCCTGTGTGAAGTTGGCCAAATGACTACACCTACTGTCCACCTATTACAACTCTGTTTGCATAATTATAACATACAAATATTCAAACAAAGATTAAATTTACCTTAAAAAAAACACACCTGAATATTTCTTCCAAGTCAATTACTAATAACAAACTAATTAAAAACTTTCCAATTTCAATCTTTTCCACAAAAAATTAAATCATATGTATACACATAAATTTCTTGAGTGTGTATGATGGATGTAGATACTCTATTAGATGTTAAATTTCTGTATGTTTTTGATAGTATTCATCACGTGATGATGGCTTACAAAATATTTTGCAATATGTTGAGGTAGTAAAAGCCAACTTCAAAGCCATGAGACAAGATTTATCATTAGACAAATGGACTAATGAGTTTATAGGCAATGTGGAGCAGATCTGGGATAATTTTACAAATTGCTTATAAATCAAGATAAGCATGTTTTCAAAAGAAAAAGAAGAGGAAAAAAAGGTATTGGGAAAGGTGTAACCTAATTTGCTTACTAAAGAATTTAAAGGATAAATACTATAAGTTTAAGAGGCTTAAATTGACAGTTAGGATGGGAGATTTAAAGAACTATATAAAAAAGTTAGGGATTTGGTTAAAAAAGAAATAAGAAAATCCTAAGGACTACTGAGATTTAGCTGGCTGATAATGTTATAACAAGGATTTTTCATGTATTTATATAGGAAATTACAAGTGAAGGTAAAGAAGACTGTAATAATATGTCAACTACAATATATATGTATATATATATACTATATCCAATGCCAAAAAGGACTTTCATCTAATACAAAGGCACATCAGGCCAACAGAGTTACAACAGACACAGTGCTGTGGTTGAGATACTATTTGTATTGATGTAACGGATTCTATTGTTTATTGGGTAGATTCTTTTGGATTATTTTTTAAACATATCCAGTCCATGTGACAATAATAAATTAATTTTTTTTTCTCCAATAATGTTTGCTACAGGCATCATTAACTGGTACTATGGTAAGTCTTAACTTCAGATATGGTGTTTAAACATAAATTTCAAAGATTAATGAACACATAACTTACTTATAGAATTTCTTGCTAATATATTAATAACAAACACCTTAGCTAAATTGAAGACACTTACATGTAATAACTCTCACTCATTAACTACTACTATTTTTTAAACTGAACCACAATGATTGAATTCTCATTAAATCATCATTTTATTAATTCTTGTAATTACATCATACTCTTATTTCTACATTATACTACATAAAACTTCTACATTCTAAACTTAATGAAATTTCTAGATATTGCATCATGCATCCTCTAGTAAACAAACATCTAAATTAAAATATTATAAATACAGCTTACAACAATTATGATTAAATGCATGAAAAACAACTATTATTGTGTGAACTAAATTAAGTAAATAGTAATTAGGCCAAGTAAAAAAAAAAAAAACAATGTTTAGCATCCCTAATCGCTTCCATTTTTGCAGCCACCTCCCCCCCCCCCCACACACACACTTCTTTTGGTGATTTTTTCCTTTTTTGAATTACTGTTTTTCAATCATACAAAGATGACTTATGAATAAAAATGAAATGAACACAGTTGATTCATTTTGCCCTTTTTTGTCATAAATTCTGTATCATTTTGATGAAAAATGAAACAAAAGGCTTATGTTTGACATGACCCTTTGAAAACAAACAACAATCATGAAAAAAAAGGACCTCCTTTATCCATTTTTCAAAAACTCCAGATGCTAAAAATATTTCCTTTATTAGTTGGCCTTATTATCAATTTCATTAGTCATTTACAAATCTGAATTAGGGTATGAATTCTTATAATTGAAGACAGTTTTATTCTTCAAACAGTGTGATTAACTTGTGGAATGAAGTGCCATCAGCAATAGTGGAGGCAAGTACTTTACAAGTTTAAAATAGAAATCAATTACTTCCTTAAAAAATAAAGGATGCATTTATGTTCTTTACTTTTTCTTAAAGATGGATGTGCAGGGACTGTTGAAGAACCAAGAGATCTTTTATTATCTGCAAGTATGTTATATTTCCTCCAAAAAACAATCATCATCATAGCATCAAAGTGGCTGGCATCTTGCACCATTATTATTTTACTACTGAAATTTCTCCAATATGCTTTGAAACATTAAATGGTACTTTCCTGCCTAAATCCTTAAACATTTTCTAAGTCAGGGTTTCTTAACTTTTTACACCTCAAAAAGACCCACTTAGTTATTTGACACAATAGTAAAGGCCCACATATGCAGTTGATAATCCATTAGTTTAGGACAGCCACAGTTGTCCCCCTCCATGGTGGTGCATAACTGTGTATCTCATGGTCCACCATTTGAGAATCACTATTCTAAATCATGATTTTTATGCTACATGATAAATCTAATATTTCTATTAAATAATAATCTTATTAAAATACAAATTATAAGTTAAATTCACATAATGTGCTTAAAACCTCTTTTCTTTGTGTAATTGTTCAGGTTATCAAGATATCTGCAGGTGTAGGGGATAGGTTGGCTCATTGGATACAACTGGCTAGAGATATAAGAATGCAGAGGTTGTTATAAATAGAGTTCAGTAAAACTGGATTAATGTCATGAGTGGGGTACTTCAGGGTTCATTGTTAGAACCTTTGCTCTCTTTGATTTACATCAATGACATAGATAAATGAATGGTCAAGATATTATTTAAATTTTTTTATGACATTAAAGTTTTGGATGTTGCTGGCTTTGAGGAGGATGCTACTGCTTTATAAAAGGATTTAAATTTTTTGGCAAGTTGGGCAAATGAATAGCAGACTTTTAATTATAATAAATGCATGTAGGATATCACAATTTGAAATATTAGTATAATTTTTATGGGAATAACATTAAGTGTTATGAAAGAAATATATATTTATTTGTCGATAGATTGGTTGGCTTTTGGAGTGTGTTGCCTTCAGATGTGATAGAAGCAGTTAATTTAAAGGAGTTTTAGGGCAAGCTTGATAAACACTTGAATGATAAGGACTGGTTTTGAGTTTCTATGTTTGATTTAGTAGGTAGAAGGGGCTACATGGACCAAAAGGTCCCTGAATGTCCTTTAAATTGTTATATCTATTTCCATACCTTGACTCAATAGCCCTCAATTCACAATAATATTCTGAAACTGAAATAAGACAAGGCTCAAGCCTCAGACAAACAACATTCTGTGGTGGATGTCAAAGTACCCCCAGTTACAAAATTTGCACAAGATTCGTTCTTATGCTTATATTAGTTATACTTACAGCATATAACACAACAAGTAGCTGATCAAGGTAAGAACGCACCTAAGCATCTTTCTGAACCATCATTATCACATGGCAGTAAGAAATAAACACAGACAACCAAACTGCTCATAGATCAACTGCTTCTACCTCTACTTTCTAAATTCTAGTGCTAGTACTATGTCAAGAATGTATGCAATCTGGCTCGATTTTAGTACCATTCACTTTGTTCAGCCTCACTGGCAGTAATAACATGCAGAAAAAAACTCGTATCGATTTTTGAGGTAACTTGTAACTCTAAAACTCTGCACTCACTTTTTTCAGATGCTGATATTAGTGAACGAACAATATCAGTTCTACCGTTTGACACTGCTGCAGTGAGGTTTTCTACAAATTCCTTTTCCATGATACAGGTAAGACTATAAGTATAACTTGCTTTAGGAGTAAAACTTCATGTAACGTAGCGTTTATATACTACTATTATTATCAGATTGTTGAATACTTTGATTCATAGTACAATTATTGATTTAAAAAATGTAACCATTAATTTTAAATCTCTTTATTACAAAATGACTTCGTTGGTCCTAACAGCAATACGTCACTTTGACCAACTAACAACAGCAATGGTTGATATCCCACGTGGCCTAACTTTAATAATAATATCAACTCAATGAACAGATATACATAAAGTTTTGGCTCAGAAATTCAATTTAGTAATTTATATATAACTTCCAATAATAAATTGATAAAGTTAATTTGAGTACAAAAATATTTAAAAAAGTTTCGAAAACAGAACTGTGACAACAATACAATGTGAGATATTATAAAAAAATCGTTTGAAATTGATAATATTTCACTAAAACATATATGTAAAGCCCAATTATTAGCATGAATGTTACATATTCTTGAAATTCCTATATAAATAGAGGATTAGTGTGTAAATAAAAGACATTTCAAAACATCATAGATGTAATGATTCAGTTTCCAGAGTGTTTCAAATGCAAAACATAAACAGAGAAGATTTTCCAGAAATAAAAACCTCTAATAAAATTATAAAAAAGGAAAAGTTTAAGTTTAAGCTATTTTTCAAAATGGGATGTATTTTAAGAGTTTGTTTATTAATGACACTTTTTAATAATGAGTTCAATATAAATATACTAATAAAGTAGCGCCCCCCGCAGCTTAAACCGTGGTGCTTTAGGAGACATATTTAGCACTTATTATATATTTGGTTCACGGAGAAAGTAAACCAAAAAATCAACTGTTTTTGTTGTCGTTATTTTTTTATTTTTTTTAGTAAAATCAGGGTCATCGCCAAATGAGGCAAATCTAACGCAATAATAACAACTTATATTAGACCACTGATTGAATATGGAAATATGGTAGCATGCCCAATAATAAAGCAAACTATTAGTAATACATGCGTGCAAAATATACATACAGACTACTCTTTCTCTAGAAAACAGGTTGTTTCGGGCACTGATGGAGTAGAACATTTGGTGCCCAATCAGTGATAGTAGATTTTCTCGGGGTATTCCCTCCTCCACATCCAGTTCTATGGCATTGAATTTATAGATCCCTGTCTCCCTGAAATCTTAGCCGTTAGAATTTACCTACTTAAAACTAAACATCATCTGGAATAACACCTGAGGACAAACAAACTGATACAATGACAAAGAAAACGAAGACGGGCTTTCACGAATTTATCCACAACCATGTATTTTCTTTTTTTAAGCTTACCATATACCAATAGTATTTTGGTTTGTTTGTTTGTTTCATGCAGTCATTTCAATAATCTCCAAAACCCACGAGCGTAACGAAGAGAGAACTGCTATCTCTGAACGAACTCCCCTAGTTTGTTAATTGTGTTTAATTTTAATATATTGTTGCGACAGCGGAAGTCACGTGACTCTGGTAACACGTAATGAGTATCTCGAAGGTTCCTGAAGGCTCAAGTGTTTGCCAGACGCCCTCTATTTTGTATATATATAAGACCGGCAAGAAGTGACGGAACAGACAATTGCACACGGGCAGAAATAGAGACGGACAATTGAGTCAAGCGCAGTAGTGACCGTAAGTAAAGTGCGTGAATCGTTGTGAATTATAGCGTGTGTTTAACTTAAAGTGACTGTGGAAATTAAATGTATTGCAAAGCTGTATTGAGAAAGAATAAACTACTTTTATTTAAGAAAGGACTTGTATCGCTAAAGTTTCTTCCGATAGAAATTATACGGGAAATTAACAAATCACCAGTGACGTAACACTAGTTTAATTTATGAAAGGACTTGTATTACTGAAGTTTCTCGGAAAGAATTTCTACGGAAAATTAACAAACGAACGACCAGAGACGTAACAATATTCTTAACAAACTGGAGATTAAAACTAGTTGATAAAGAGTGGCCTTGTTGAACTTTATTATATTTTTATATACCTGGTAGCTAAAACTGTTGAATATAGAATGATACTGCTTTAATTTAATTGTTTAAACAGCGCCGTACGGTGGGTAGTGTGAGTGGTGCGTTCGTTCGCTCAGGACGCCAACTTGAAGAGGGTGGCTGATTGCCAGATTGAATAACAAAACAAACTTATGGGTTGGGTTGGGGAGCGCCATCAAATATCGGTACAGCACTTTATTTAAACCTAAACAAATTGATGTATAGACAAATATTCAACATGCCGAAGAAGACAGCCTTCAGTGTTCTCCGTGAGAGCTGATATGATTGCACGCGATAGTAGTAAGATCCAAAACCACCCCCCAAGTCAATTTTAAGCAATGCTCTCATCCACGAAATGAAGATTATGGTTGCAAAAGATAGTCCTTCACCAGAAAAGCTATTACAAAGAAACTGATCATATGTTTTAGTACCATTATCAAGTTAATAAACAATGCTTTGAAGAAGGTAAGATTCACAATTCCTGTTATAGCTGAAGAAACAAGAATCACACCAATTCCTTTTGACCTGTCAAGACCCTGATTACAAGTCAATGAACTTTTGTACTTTTAGTCTAATTAAGTGTACGTGCAGAAACATCCGCCCACTCGCCAGGTATAAGTGCTAGTTCCTGCGGAAAGCTATTGGGCCTGTGACCTTTTCTGGAATTGTCTGACAGTTCTACAACAATATACTCATACTTGACATTTACTAATGTTCACTATCCATGAGAAAAGGGATTTTATTGAAATTGTAGTTTAGATATGAGCTATCATCACAGAGTAGATTTTATTGAAGTATTTCTCTGTAGACGCAGTCATCTATGAAAGTGCCTTGCTTTTCTGTTGCAATACTCATGAGATTTTCACAAAAAAAACAAATAATTTTTTAAAGTTTGTTTTTGATTATTTTATATTTGAAATCTACTCCTTTTTGTTTGTAAAAGTTATTGGTTAAATTTGAAACATATCCTTGTAGTATACAAACCAAGGTATATTGCTTTCAGCAAAATTCAATTGAATTTTATATCAAGGTTCTGTTCAGGAAATAGAAAGATACAAGAAACTGCAGATATTATTTACAATTTCTACTACTAAGTTTGCTAGCCAGAAATACTTTATCATCTTAGTAATCTTTTGACAGTTGGGAACTTTGGTGTTAAGAAAACACTGATGAGTTTAGTTGGGAATGTGTTACTAGGATCATTGCTGTCGATCTGAGGAAGAATGGCAGCAAGTCTACATGTCCTGTATTGAAGGAATGAGACACCAGAATAAGAAATGTAACAACTCTTAACAGTATTGCACTGAGTGCCACAAATGTTTTTTGGTTTATCACAAACTTAAAATGAAAAACAGAAAACATATCATAATAATAGTTTATTAAATGATAGCGGTATATGATCTACCAAACCAATAAGCTGAAAACTTGGTAAAAAATTCAAATAATATGTCTCAATACATATTGACTTTCTCTGGTATTTCAGTTTTAACAATAACAAATAGAACTGGCTTTATCAGACTGCCATATTAAGCGGCTGTCTCGAATTACAAATTAAAGGGGCTGCAAAATTAAAACAATTTTAATGATTTTTTGCCATTATTGCTGTTTCCTTTCCTAAAAGCATAATTTGTTAAAAAAATGTATAAAATATAAATATTCCAAAAATGTGGAACTGGAAATTTCTAAAAAGAGCTCTGTGAACTAGGCTACTGTAGTACTTAAGTGTGGTGCGAGCTCAACAGACTATAAGTTGTGGTGGTATTTTCAGGTAAAAACTACACTGATTTTATAAACAAATATCACTATATCATAGACAGGAAACTGTTATTTACTACAGCTTCTTTCAGGAAATAAAGAGGTTAACTCCGATCAGATAACTTGACCGAGTCTTACTAGTGTGCGTGTAAAATAATGAGATTAGATAAAGTTTGTAAAAAATGAAACAATCTTTATTATTCAATAAAAAAGAAAGAAAGCACAGCATATGTACCTACGCACATGAAAGACAGTGTGTTTAGTCCCACAGCTTTCTTTCTTTTCAGAGGGATCTCTGTAAAACTCAACATGATGATCTTGATATAAGTCTTTACTCGTCGAACTCTTAGTAGAACTGAAATAAGAAAATGTACCTGAATCAAACTGGTAAACTCATTTTTTGTACATTCAATAGCGTTACCTCGCGACCTTTGCTCTATCACATTAGTCAACTGTTGCACTTAGTCAACGTCAACTCAGTCAACAAAGGATATTACAATGCCAATCCTGTCAACTCGTTTACTGCAACATCCTTTTTGGCAGAGTATACATCTTCTACTATAAAGAACAAAGGAACTAGAATAAAGCAATCTCGACAACTTTCTGGATCACGTGTTTATGCTAAAACTGTGTACAAACTAAATAATCGAAAAAGTTTACGAATTCTTTTGTCATTAAAGCAGGTATAAAACATGTAGTATTTTGCATATCACATTGATGGCGTTTAAGAAAAATCATGCAAAGAACAAAATAAAAAATAACACATTGTAAAAAGTCGAAACGTTGTACATTTGCTGTTATATTAAAGTTTTTCTTCATTATCCATTCAAGCCGTCTCCAGCCATTATTAGTCTCAAAGTGGGTTCCTCGTCATCGAATTTTAATTTAGAATGAATTACGAATACTAGAAATAAAGAATGCATAAATCTGAATGAACAAAATTTACAGAATGCAAATAAGATAAATTATAGGAATGAATATATTTAAATATGGCTATAACGTGACACAACGCAACGTGGAGCAAGTCTTAAATAAAATTAACTAAATGAATGATATAATTTAAAGTGGTTTTTAAAGGTTTGTTTGTTTGTAATTAAGCGCAAAGCTACACAATGGGTTATCTGTGCTCTGCCCACCACGGGTATCAAAACTCGGATTCTAGCGTTGTAAGTCCGAAGACATACTGCTGTGCCACTGGGGGGGCGGTTTTTAAAGGATACCAATTATCCTGCACATCTTTACACATGAAACACTGTGATAAAATAATATTAGGAAATTACATTACACAAACACACACACACAAATCACTGCAACTGGACCGGCTCTAGACCTACCCACTCACCGGACAGCTGTCAGATGGCCCAATCCGCCCATGCTGACAGTATTGAAGGACTAAAAGGATTTGTTAGGCAATTAATTATACATAATGGGGAGAATAAATCACAAGGCAATAAGTGTACTTTGAAAGGACATTTTACCAGGAACTACAGTAAAAAGCTTGTTGGGAATTAGAGCTCCTACCATAGGTAGCAGAAATATGGAAATGTTATAGTTGTGGGAAACTTGGTCATTGCAGCTGAGACTATAAGGAATAAACAGTTATCAAGACATTAAAGAGATAATACCCAAAGATGAGCCTTCAAGCAAAACTAAATAAAAAAAAAAGGCTTACTTAACATCGAAAACAGGAATTAGCTGGAATTATTGTTTAAAGAAACCAGTACATGAGTTCATGGGCCTATTGATGGGAAGCCTTGCAGTATGTTGATCTGCACTGCTGTACAGCTCCAATAGTTTGACTAAATTTGGTAATGGAAGGTGGGAAATTGCCCCCAGATACGAAGAAAAAAGAGGGAAGGGTGCAAAGAGCAGGTGGATATAAGGTTCCAGCAAAAGAAAAAAATGAACTTACCCTTACATTAGGAAACTTCTTTATGCTTCATGATGTGTAGGTAACTTGCATTAAGGAAGAATGCATATTGGGAATTGGGATGTAAGGTTAGGCCAGCTTCACAGTCTATCATAAGAAAATCCCTATGCACTACATGGCAATTATTACACCAAAAACTGAACTTCCCATAACAACGAATAGAAAAGTCATTATACCACCGAGAAACAGATACTCAGTCTACTGAAAAATCTAGAATTTCTGTTGGGACTACTTCCAAAGATTCATCAAGGTTGGAACCACCAATGGATTCACCCAACCATATATCTAGAGAGAACTCCCTTAGCAACAGGACAATCAGTAACAAGGGACAATACACCATCCAGTCTGTATACTACGAGTCTCAGAAAAGAAAACCACCCTAAAGATTTGGTGAATGTACAGTTTAATTTAGTGTTTTATTTTTATATTAGCATTCTTCAAGGGACTTCACAATCTAGGAAAGTGGCAATGCTGTATTTTAATGTCGTGATTTGTTTGTTAGCTAGATGGGCTGCTCTTCATAATACTGACATTACAACCCAAAGTTTTAATAATATAGGTCTAGAAAGTTCTAAAGGTTTGACATTAAGTGTTCTATTAAATTCGAGGATAGATTATGAATACAAAGTTCAGAGATGATAGTGAAATAGATAGAGAGTTGTTTCTAGCTGATACAGTGAATCAGTCAGTGTGTTTTTTGTGGAGTATTTGGATCTGTGTTAGTTATCACATATATTGAATTACTTTGTACAAGTAAGTTGGCATTATTTTATTTAATATATGCAGTTAGCGTGTCAATAAACATGCCCCACAAGTTATAAAGTGTACAAACTTGCAAAAGTGCCAAGGAAAAAATAAACTAATTTGCTTTTGTTTATTATTGGGGGACCAGACGCCCAGGTTCGGCTGGGAAAGTCCCGCTTTTTTGGTAGTTCACCCCAGTGTCCCAAGAAAAGTTCTCAGGATGCACAAAACTTCCCAATTTTATGATAAAGACATCAAACTGTCAGTTAGATCGAATTACGAATACAATAGGCCTACTTGACTTGCTCATTGTTGTAACATGTACTCTCCTGTTGCCAAACTCTCTCGAAAGTCCTGGCTGTGCATGATGAGAAACTTAGGTCTACACACGTCTCAATGTGGAGACAGGTAAAGCAGTCCTCATCGTCAAAATGCGTTTTACACAGTCATGTTCTGAATTTTATGACTCTTTAATTAAAAAACAACAGAACTTCTATGTTCCGTTCATTTTTCACAAAAATATGTCTAAACAGTTTCAAAGTAATGCTAAAGTAATATATTTAAAATTGTTATGGATTTTTGAACAAGTCCAGGTGTGAAATAGCCTATTTTAAGATGAATCAGATAAAGTGAATAAATAAAGATTTACTGGATAAATAACTTGACTATTTTTGCTTATTTGTTTGTGTCTATCAACAACAAAAATGTAGATGAAATTATTTCAAAAACAATGTTAATGTTAATATATTTGGAAATATTGTGGAATAGTTCAACAAATTTAAAGTAAATAATTAAAAGTTAAATTATTTCAAATTTGTAATAACCATTTTATAATTAGGGGCAAGGGCTATCCAGGTTTTACGGTTTGGAAATTTGGTCACCTTATGTTTACCTAGACTGGACGTTGAACTATTTTCACTAAATAAATTTTAAAAACCTGCCAACGAAAGAACAACATTACAACAATTTCCTTAAGGTATTGTCCGGCCTGCCAATGGATGAGGTATTTGTCAAACCTCTACATAATGTATTCTTACTACGTACATTCAAGTGTTCTTTCTCACGAGAAAGCACGTGTAACATCTAGGACAGTAGGAGTTAGAGCGAAAGTGATTTAGCCATATTCCACGACCAAGGTTGTTCTGTTACGACTACACATGCAGCTAGAATTAAATTTCTAGTGAACATGAAAAGCTCGTCTACTAATTTCAGAACATATACAAAACACTGGTTATACTTGCATATCACATGTGCAGACCGATAATTTAACTATATTATCAAACAATTTATCTAAAATAGCCCATTAAAAATACAGAGTATAATAATTGTTTACTCCTTCTCGAATACATCAAGAAAACACTTAAAATCGATAGTATGTGTGAAAACAAATTGTTAAAATTCAAAATTTCATCAAATTTGTTCAGTGTTGTATTCTCATACTTGTTAATTATTTCTTTTCAAATCATGTTTTGTGTGTGCGAGATCAAAACATTTCATTCTATCGCTCAACAATTGCTCTTTCTAGTAGTAAATACATTCTTGGCCTTTCTTAAAGTAGTAGTACTGAATCGCTTATCATTTAAAGGTCCATTGAAGTTTGTCCTGCAATGGATAGTCTTCATATTCTAACTGTTTTGAAAGATAATGCATATTATACTCTTAAAGTAATAGCAGCACTACTAGATAATAATGTCAGTGATATCGTTTCAAGACATACTAAATACATTTTCTATTTTCTACATTTAAATTAATATTATAAATATCTGTATTTTTTCTTAAATTTATGGAAAATTCTGCTTTTTTATATGAATAAAAGTATCTTTATATTTATTTTTTTTGGAAGTTAGCAGAACGAAAATGTAACAACTAATAAAACAAAATTGTATAATAATTTGCCATAAATGCAAAACAATTTTGTTTGACTATTCTAAACTTCCATCTTATGCATACTTGTTAAAGCAGCTCAAACAAAATCCTAAAACTTAAGAAGCCGGATTTGGTTGTGACTGTTGATGTATGTTATGTATGTCAAAACAGTTTGTTTTATTAATTTATCATCAAAGTAAAAGAGACGGTGTCTGGGTATTAGAGATTAAGAGAGATAATATAAAACAATATAAAATATTTTAATATTGATTTAGGTAAGTTAAAAACAAAAACAGTAAAAAAAATACTGTGATTGAGTTAAAGTTTAAACGTAGCACTTTTCTGCCACTGTGCCAGTGGCAGTTCTACGTGGTTTAAAATTTAACTACGATACTTGAAAACACTGATCGATTGTTATTTATATTTAGAATATAGGTTTACATGTATTAGTATAGTATAATCATGAGTAAGTTCATGTGCTAATCCAAGCAACGTTTTGTTTCGGGACCATACTTCATTTTTCCAAATCACTGGGGTTATTAACTGTTAGTGTTAAGTTAGGGCCTAAACTAAGCCTAATGTCTAAAATTAAAAATTCAGTACGACGATCTAACTGTAAATGCTAATGTAATAATAGTATGCTGGTTTACATAGACCAATCACATATATGCCATAATATGATATATCACATGGTCTAACTATCAGGGCAAGGTTCTCTGCAATTTGACGCCATTGATCTGTTAAAAAAGAGTGTCTAGACCAATATTTGGGTTAAGAATATTAATATGCGATTTGGATTATTATTTCAAATTTAATTAACATGTCATGATTTACTGCATATATTTTAACTAATAATACTAGTAAGCATGGCCATAGGGTAGTATCTCACAATGCCTAGACTATACTGTAGGATAGACTTTTTTTCTTCTAAATTTTCTTTTTATAGTCTGAGAAAAAATACTTTATCTGTAGAAATTGTATAGTATTTGGATACTACATATTCAATACTTTTTTATAATGTGTATTTCACATACATACAATTTATATAATTTTAGAATTTTTGTAAATTCTAATCAAATTTGTTTGATCAAAGTAATTGGTAATTTCATAGGTAAACCTGAGTTACCTGATTTTAGCAAAATCTAGAAGCTTGGAGATTCATCATTTAGTAAGAGGAAGGATGAGTGCAGTAGTCAAATAAAATATACAAAATTTGCAGTCAAAGCAAAATAGACAATTTTTTTGAAGAAGACAAAACTGGACAATCACACAGGTGGAAACTATTGCATTATTAGAGGTTTGGATCAAAAATAAAATAAACTATATTGAAAGGTTCAATAAAATTAATTCACTTAGTCAACAAAAGGAATGGATAAAAGGTAAAGCACTGATGAAGCTTCAACATAAAGTTTTGACTCCTTCAGGATAGAATCAAATCTGCTCTCTCCAAGTTTAGAATTTCTTTGAAAACTACCAAAGTTGCATTTACAGTACTCAGTTTTTCTGTAGTTGACCAATCAGAAAGATGAACTACAAGAATTGGAGATATCCGCTTCATGTAACAGTTGTAAAGCAGTACAAATACCTTATGAAACAGTAAATGGTTTCCATGATTGGACCCTGCTACTAAAAGTAGTGCCTCGACCTGAATTGAGCTCCTGATTGCTAAATTTAGTATATTATAAATAAATACTTTCTGTCAATGTACATCCATATTTTTGTTAGCAGTAATGTTATATCCAATACCACTATATATGGACACACAATATTAGCTAGCTGAAATACAATGGGTGATCTATATAATCCAATGTTACATTTCGAATTTTAAAATAAAATAGGGAGAACAAAGGACATTTGGAAACTTGCACATCCATCTCTAGGAAAAAATAAAAATAAAATCTTTCTTTTAGTTTAAGTGAATTGATCGATTACCTTCTTAAACTCTCTAGTGGGTTTATCATTTATTATTATTTACAAATTAGTATATTGTGTGGACATGTTTCAGAAATGATATTTCTTGTAATAGAAGATATACTGTCCTTTATTTTATAAGTAGGGTATTTCTTTTATTATCAGTCCATTTACTACATGCAAAATAGGCCAGTTTTATTTTCATATTGTTGCCCACCCCTCACTATTTTATTAGAGTAGTTTAAGTGTTCAAGGTGGTTATTCTTAATGAGTTGCCTTCTCTCTATCAGTTCAAAATTAAGAATGACTAGTACATATGTGTAGCTTTGTGAAAATGTCCAAAATAAAGAAACAGACCACATATGATATGCTTTTACAAAAACCATATAATTCTTTAAACTAATTATAAATTAACTGAAAACTTGTAGCCATTTAAAACATATTAGTCTTCATAGATCATGCAGTAATAACAGTGACATTGCTATACAACATCATTACAAATAAAGCTCAATTGGCTATGGTATTAAAGATTGTCCCACTTTGAATATTTCTTCAAACATTGATGGTTTTTTTTTCAAAACAAACTTCACACAATACAGGAGCTGCCTCATCATTGTTAACATATTCTGTAGGCTATTAGGGAGAGAATACTAATGCTAGTAGCAGGATAATTTTCAGATGCCTGCAAGTCTTCTATCTCAGTTCATTAATATACCATATAAGCTTACCATGGCTTTAACTGTGAACACTAAAGTTGTGTTCTCTGACAAAAGTGTCACTAAAAAAAACATAATTCTTTTTAGCCTACATAACTGAGGAACTACTCAAGGAATATTCAACATAAAAATCTGTATACCTGCACAAAACATTATTTTTATGGTTGATTTATGACAAAACATCATCAAGATGTAACTCGTCAAGAGTTATGTTGCCTAACTGTCAAGTCTTCATGTGTTATTTTGGCACAGAAATCCACCAAAAACAATGGCCAAGCAATTCAGTCTACTTTTTCTAATACCAGTGTAAAAAGAAACATATGATACCTTACACTCATTGCACATTATAACAACTTATTACAATATTATTTATATGAAAAATCATGAACAAAATATATTTCAAATCTTATTAATAGGGTTAATTAATAACCTAAAAAACATACTCAGTGTCTCTTACATTTTACTGGCCATCTGTGCTGACACTGATTGTGAAAGCCTGACTGTAATGATACTAAGTATTTTTACATGCATTCCACACTTGTGGTTCATTGTGTGAATAAATCCATTATTTCTTCTTCTTTTTTCCAACATAAAAAGTGTAAACCTTTCTGTACCTATTTGAAAATTGTAACTTAATAAACCTTGGAAATTTCTTATAGAATGTAATTTAAAATATCAAGTTTTGCTTTGCTGATTGGTTATTACTAAGCTGAAGTCAGCTTTATTTCAAGTCAAATGTATTAACCATCTTTATACTTAAATCATTAACTGCTGATTCACCATACAGGGTCCGGTCCATCTCCGGCAATTGAATGTGAGTGTGCTGTATACAGCGTACAACTCGCTAAAGTTCCACGAGCGTTAAAAGTGGCCACAGTCAAAGGGTTAAGCATCTATGCCAAGGGCATATGTAGGTAGATATGTGAATGTTAGAAACACTAGGTTTAAGTTTCACTATCCTTGTATAATAATTGATTAATTAGATTTATGAAAAATACTTCAGAAAGGTGTTCTTAATAACAATGGTAGTCTACATGTTATGTATCACAAAAAATATTGACTTTTAAAACTTAAAAAATATCTTTTCATTAATGGCTGTACTTCATACTGTATGAATAAAATCCCAATAATTTTAGAACAAGACAAACCTAGTTCATAAACAGTTCTGATAATCTGAGCCACATAGTTTTTGTGCATTAGTCCTTTAGGAAAAAAAGTTAAAGCAGACCAGTTAATGAATTTTTGTATATAATAGTTTCAATTTGAGGTTTAATGTTCTGAAATTAATTAATGATTTGACTAGTTGCAATAGCTTTGTCTTCATTTCTTATGTTCATGTGCACATTTCTAGCTTATTTTAAGGATAATTTATTATCTTGTGTTTCAGAAAATCTATTCAGTAAGTGAACGTATCTTTACACAAGTAACCAAGTAATAATGGTATTTTCAGATTATTTCTTAAAACTAAAGGAAGAAAAAACAAATGTCGAGGAGACCTGTTTCAACAGAGAGCAGGCGAAGTACTGCTGCCCAGTTTTTTATGGATGAAGATGAGAATCTGGAACCAGAGCCACCCAGGTCAACATATGACAGGGTGAGCTAATATATATATATATATATGTATATATATATATATATAAATATTGTTATGCTTTTTATTTTACAGCAGGAAAATTTTAAGTTACATGAGTAATGTGTTACAAAACTATATGAATATTTTTTTAAATTATAAAAAGTTAAAAAAAGTTAACCTGTAACCAATATTTACTATTTGATTACTGTCTAAACTCCTGACTCCAACTAAAAATAACTGCGTTTATTGCAATTTTGATTGAATTAATGCTGTATATGAAAATATATAAAAAGTTTGAGTCAACTGTTGAGAAACTCATCTGTACATTCGTTCCAGTGATAAAAAGATTCTGTTCAGTCAATTGAGGGTATAGTTAACCTGGGCAGTATTGTCTAAATTACTGTAAGAACATAAGAGTGAGTGAGATGAGAAAAGGCTGTTCGTCAATGGAAATCACTTTTTGAATGTTGCAGAAACAAGCCAACCAATGTAAATTAAATGTAACCCTTCATATCCATGTATTTGTGAATTGAAAAAGTAAACATTTTTAATATATTGGCACACATCTTATTAGAAAATTAATTCCATAAGTTTATATATTTAACAAAAAAGTAATTTTGTTAAAGAACGAGTCTGGAGACTGCTATAGCTTATACTTATTTCCATTAATATTAAAGTTTCCATTTTTGACCTTACAATAAATTCCACAACTTCTAAAGACCTCCCATAGAAATTGGCTTAACCCCAAACAATTTTGTACACCTTTGTAAAGTTGACTACAATTCTACACTCTAGAGAAAACAAGCTAAAATCTTTTGAGAATTTCTTCATAGCTATAACTCAAGGCTTTTAAACCAAATATTAATACAGATAGTGTTTGCAATGTTTTCCATTATGTCATGTTCTACTTGTAATAAGGAGTTGGAAACTGCACTGTCTATTTTGTGTGCCTCACTAGCGTTACCTAAGGTTGTAAGAACCATCTTATTCAATAATTCAGAATTTTTATGAACAAATTATTGAACTCTTACTAGTTCTTTCTGCTACAATTGAATAGTACAAACAGGCACTTATTAGTAAGCACACCATAATCTTATTTTTGTTTTGCACTACACCAATGTTTCTTTTACATATTCACATATCTCAAAATTATCAATGTAAACTTTTTAATGTTGAAACTCATTTTTTATTATTTGTGCTTGCTAATTAAGACTTTTTAGATTTTTCTGGATTAACAAAGCATTATCTACAAAGTAGGCTTTCTTGGTATATTAGTTGCATTGAATTTTGGAAATATTGGTTTCTCAGTGCTGTATGCTGTTAATTTAATACCTAGACTGTGAGTCAGGGAGACATGCTTGGTGGGTTGGTGCCTAAACAAAGTTTTCCGATGCTCTCTTTTTTTAAAACTGTGAATAGAGATTTGATTTCCTTGCAATATGTGGAATCTGAAATGCCCATGAACATGGTCAAATATGCACTAGTTTTCAGGCTATGAGGGGGGTAAAACCCATACCCCAATACAAAATTCCATAGAAAACACAGTAGTGGCCACACAAGATTTAGTTCCTCAGCTCTATAAGACTGTTTACTGTCAATAGAAATGGCCAAGGAAAACACAAGGAAGCTTTCTTGCCACTGTAAGGTGGGTAAGGGCAATATCTGCTTGAGCATAAATACTTATATTATTTGTGCAAGAGGAACACAGTATGACCAGCTCCCTAAAGTAAAGTATGGTTGTTTTAGGTTTAGGTTAACATATTGAGTCCTTCATAAGAGTTTGTTTGTTGTTGTTGGGTTTTTTTTGTTCTCACTCGATTTCCACAAATATTGACACCCTAGCCCACTCAGTCCACTAAATTTGATTTCATTGATCCACATACTAGTTGTGAAATTCATTCTTAACTTTTGTTGGTCAGGTGTATGAATGTTAATGGTCATGTTTAGTTTTAGTGGATAAAATGTGACCATATGGAATGAATATTGTTTACCTGTTAATATTTTTTCAAAAATCTATATTATCAGTCAATGTTTAGTGAGGCATTTTTTTATCAACAACTTCCTGAAATTCAACAAACACAGCATATACTGGGATATCCAAATTTGTGGGAATCCTATTAAAAATGTCAAAATAGAGCAATTCCATTACAAAGAGCTTTAATCAACAAATGTTAAATCTTTATAAAACCACATTAAAGTTTCACTGTTGATATAAGATGTATAGAATTTGGTTCCAAACAAAAGTTTTATTGCTGTTGGTTCATTTTCATGAAAAATAGCACTTCTATTGGAGTGCATTTTTAGTAATAGAAAAAAGGAAAAAAAGCTTCCATTGCAAACCCTTCCCTTTTCCCCTTACCTCCAATTCTAGTTAATCCTTTTTTTTTTGCTTATTATTTGAGTTAATGAACCATAAAACTGAGATGTAGAAATCAATTCTACTGTAAATTTCATACTTTCCATTGGGTGATGACATATTTTCATCTATTTTGTCTGTAATTCTTTTACCAAAAAAAGAGTCATAAAAGTTTTCCTGTGAGCTAACTATTGGTTGGAATTAAAACCTATTTAAAATTCTCTTATTAGGTCTATTCAGTAACCTGTTAGATCACTCACTTTTAGCAGTTATTCTCTGATCTTATAGAAATCCTGGTAACAGAATTATATTTTGGTAATGGAATTATGGTAAAAGAATTACATGGTTTTTTTTTTTTTTGCTGTGTAAGCTTACTGTAATAGAATCTAATTCACCTAATTCACAATTTTTGCACCAGAAGTCAGGGCTGATAATTAAGGCATTGTTTTAGTTTAACATCAGTGTACGTGATAGAGAGCAGCAACGGTTTCCTATTTCCAGAAGATTCCATGCCATGCTCCTTAAGATAAAGGACGAGTTGTATCTGCACAAATTTAAATCACACAACATCCAGTCATAAGATGAGTAGACTCACCAACACATCAAGTAATTATTCAATAGAACTATATAGAAGTGTTTTATTGCTAAGTTGTTTTACAGGTTGACTTTGCTGAAACTTTCACCACAGAAACACAGAATGAAATTCAGTCTGCATATTGGCCTTACAATCAGGTCACTCTGTTCACTGTATGTGACTGGGAGTAGTGGGGAACACATTCAGTAGTGACAGTTTCTGATTACTTGCAACATGACAAATATGCAGTTAACATCTTCCTCAGGAACATCCTACAACATTTAAATTCAACTGTCTGTCAGTTTCAGAAAGTAGTTGTATTTTTCTTATGGTCCATCAGATCAGTTCAAACAGCATTTCCTTCTATAAAGCATCACACTGTTAAACATAAATATAGAGTGGAATTTCTTTGCCACTTCTCATGGCAAAGGTCCAGTAGATGGCATTGGAGGAACCACAAAAAGATCTGTTTCCTTAGAAATGATGTCTGGGAAAGCAGAGGTAACAGTGAATTTTCTGACATTGCTGCCAAGAAATGCCAAAATATTCAGATAAAACACAAGCAAAGTTGAGGTTGAGTGAGAAATCTAATAGCTGGATGATGATTGGAATGAGATAACTCCTGTCCATTACCCAAAACAGGTACAGTCACTGTGGTTGCACCATTTGTCATCAGTGTGCAGCGCCATGCAAATTCTCCTCCCTCAAGGCATCACTTCAAAGGTGAAGATGCTGATAGTGGGGAAGATGGTGATTACATTGATGATGATGGTGAAGAAGACCTCACAGTAAAAAAAGGAATGTTACAGCCAACTTTGACAACAAACCAGAAGCCTTGCCTAAAGATCTTGACTTGAAGTGGGCGGTTGTTAGATACTCTGTCCAGAGGAATGCCAAGAAATTTGTTGGCCACATTCTTGAAACTCAGGAGAACAAAGTCACCATCAAGTTTTTGAAAAAGTGGAATTTGGCAAGTTTGTGTGGCCTGACATTGATGATGTAGATTCTCTTGACAGGTCCTGTGTAGTTAAAGTACTCACTTAACCACAGATGGATAGATGCTAGAGAATTGGATTTTCAAATGGAGTTGAGTTGGCCTAAGTACATGTACTAAAGTCTATTGTCTTTTCTATGCCACACACTAGCACTAGGCTTGAAGTAGCATCAGATAAGCAAAATACAGTTCTCCGAGTGCACAGGTATAAAAAAGTATTCCGAGGTGGTATTTCTGTATTATTCACATATATATTCAGACAAGTAATTCCATTACCATGCCATGTAATTCTGTTACTGAATTATATTTGTTAAGTTTAAACAAACAGTGTATATATATATCTGGACCAAACCTCCTTCCATGAATTAGTCTACCTTTTAATGCCAGCCATCAGCTTCAGTTGGCTACAAGATTCAGACGAAATGTCCTGACATTTGTTAGAAACCAATTTTGAAATTTTCTGTGTAATTCCATTACCAAAATAATATCAATCATTTCATCCCTTTGTTAGAATTTTTGATGAATACAACTATTTATTATAGGGAAGGGTTTGTACTTCCACAGCCTACTAAAGTTATTCTAGAAGGCACAAACTGAGCTTCAGCATTTGTAATCGAATTCCAAAAATTGTTGTGAATTGTAATTCCGTTGCCATGGAATTGCCCAATAACTTTGTGACACGGCAAAATTTTGTTTTAAAACCATGTTGAGTGTTGTGTATAAATACCAATTTTCAAGTACTTTTCTAGTGTGAGAATTGATTCAAACACCTTGCTAACAACAGAGGGTAAGGTAATTGGTCTGGTATATTACATCATTGCCTACCCTATTTTTTTTCTCTTTAAGTATCTCATTAACAGCTTTCCAGTCATTAGGAATAGGCCTATTGTATTTCAGCTTCTTAAAGACTGAATGTAATTTTTATATATTGCTTCTTAAATTGTAATACTATTTTTAACAACAAATTTCTGAGTCAGCCAGACCAGTTGTGTACTTGTTATTAACAAAATAGGGCTCACATGAGATACGAAAAAGATGGAATGAAACATAGGGATCTGTAAGGATTGAAATATGGAGTTTCTTGCTCTGGCATTTTCCATGGATATAATGGTCGTAGTGGTTTTCTGTCTCTCCACTCTCACTGCTCTGGTCATGTCTGTCTTTCTAGTAATAAGCATATACTCAAATGGTGAAGATCAGACTTCAAAATATGTTTGTTAGACTGGGAAATATTAAAAGCAATTTCACTGGTTAAAATTTTGTGGAATTATATATGCATATATTTTTCTTCATAAAGATAATCCTTCTGAAAATAGAATTTGATAAGTGTTTTTATTGTTTAATTTAGTAAATATAACTTTTATTTTAGGTTGTTAATTTACTTAATGAAGCAGCAGCTTCGTCATGGGAGAGTCAGAAAGTTAGCAACTTGCGCCAAGTACAAGAGCTTGTGGTTCATAAAGAACCAAACTTACTGGACAATTTTTTGGATGTAAGTAAAATATTTTAGGAAAGATACAATTGACCATACTTATTACTAAGTCTGTGGTAAGGAACATTAAAAATTTTTGACAATTTTTTCCATTTTAGTTTCTACAGAAGTGTCTGAACTCATTATTATTAAAATGACAATCTTTATTTATAATTTTATGACAAACTATCAGTAAGACTTATTAACTGATATTGATTGTATCTGTTATATTAATAAAGTGAAACAGGCTTATTTTAGAACTGGCCTTACTTGGATTGTGAAATTGTATATTGTTGAATGATTATAAAAGTATTGTCAAAACAATGTTGCATTGTTAATTCATAGCACATGCATAGTGGAGATGTTTTCTTAGATGTAGGAACTTAAGATTTTGGAATGCATTTTTATCTGTACTATACCTTGGATAGCTCAGTAGTTTTTGCTGTGCTCATCAGTCTCCAAAATAGCACGACAGTTATAAATTGAATATTGCTTTTCATTCTAGAAATCAACTAGGTATTTGAGTTATTCTTAGAACTACTCATTCAAGCATAAGTTAATATTTTTTTTTGTCATATTCTCTTCATGTTTAACTTAGTCTGTTATTATTTTATCAATCATTTTGCATTGCATTCTTTTTTAGTTCCAAAAGAAAATTTATAACAATGTTTCTTTATTACCATTTCTACAGGAAATGCTTGCTTTCCAAAATGACAAAAGTACAGATGTGAGAAAGGTTGTTGTTGGGTTTGTGGAAGAGGCTTGGTAAGATAACTTGATCAGTGTTTATATAATTTGACAGTAGTGACAATAACTTACTTTGCATATTAGTAATATTTAAGTTCACCTTTCTTATTTTTTTTCCAATATCCATAAGTGCTCAATTACGTACTCTTTATTCTTTTTTGTCAGTCTGTCACTATCATCCTTTAACTTCTTGTACTGAAAGTAGTATGGTTGAAGGTTTTTTATGAATCAAAAACCAGTGTTCATATTAATGTACCAATTTTAACAATGAGGACAAAAATTTTTTGTTATAATGTGTATGAGGAATGCATACAAAAACTACCTTCAAAATTGAACAGTACTTGACAAGAAGGACTTTGTTGCAAGAAAAGCCAGAAAAACATTATGAGCAAATCAATGCAAAGTAGAACACTTTTAAATGTTACTACATGTAGTAAGTAATAAGTGAGAAAATTAATCATTCTGATGTTTTTTATGTTTTGTGTAAAAGTATAATGGAACTCCATTTTTACCTCAGGACTCATATAATATGAATGCTAGTGGGAACACTGTGAAACAGTTTTAAAATATCCTAAATACCTAGAAGTTGTTGCCATAAAATAATAGTTTCTGATACGATATTTTACCTCCTCTGACAAAAAGTTTTCTCGATTAATACTGTCCGCTATCAACGCAAATATTTTCACTCACCACTAGCCTTGTAACTCCCACTTCTTTCGGCATGTCTACATGTAAATGATCATGTAGCAACCCTCCACCAACAGGAGTGTGGCACTACTACTATTGTAACTAGTGCCCTCTCTAATAATGCACCTGTTAATCACTTCTTGATTGGCAGTCTTACTGTTAAGATGTGTTTGTTTTCACTCACAAATTTTGGAATCATTGACTTTAGTGCAGTTTTGTTTTCCGGTAATTTTGTGTGTCTTTAGTTTGAGTTTATACTTTGAAAGTATGTGCTCACAGTTTCCAGTAGTTACAACTGCTACTACTGTTTCTGCCCAGTGGGATTACTGACCATGTCTTTAGAGTTGGGCCCACAATTATGTGACTTTATGATTTGTAGAGAATTGTCTCATTTTATTGAAAGACACCACCACATGAGGAGTATCCTGTCTTGCCTGCACCTGGTGTGTCTGACATGGAGGACAAAAAGTTGGATTGCCTTTTGACCACTCCTGATTATGCTTCTCAGTCACCTGGTTCCAGGTGGGGTTCATGCTAGTCATTTTGTGGAGCACTTGAGATCAGAGATCAGTATGCCTCGTCCCACACATCCATTGGACAATCATATTTTTGCGTTTCATTGTGCCAACTACCCCTTTTTAGACTTGCAGCATTTGGAAAATCTTGTTCTTTTGTGGGGTTTGGATACTTCATCTCCTTTTCCCAACTTCAATTTTACCATCTTTGTGTTACCATGTCTACTATTCTCCATGCCTTATCCTCCCTTCATCTTTTAGCAGAAGTTATTCATTGGTCTCCTGAGGATTTTTTTTATGAATCTCGTAGGCTTCTATTTGGTGCCTTGGCTCATCTCTCCTCTTTGATCTTGGCTTTACAGATGTGGCTGATATGTTGTTGGGATCTTTTGGGTTGAGATGCTCTGTTGTGAAGGGTTTGTTTACCCACTTCTTCTTTGCAGGATTTACACATGGCACCAATTTTCTAGGAAGAAGTCTTTGGGGTTTTTTCCGACAGTTTGGAGTTTAGGGTTGAATCAGCCCACTTACATCACTCCATTTCTTCTTTGGCTTCTCATTTGTCCCAACCTCCTGTTCCTGTATAAGTGTTACAACCCTTCCTTCTACTTCTTTGCCAGTCCCAGCTACTCATTCTTTAACTTTCTGCAATTGTTTGGTTCCCTGTCATCATCTTCAGGGCACTCAACCTCAGTGACTTGGTATACTTGGGTCGGGGCTGGTGGGGGCCAGGCTATATCGCTTTGCCCACTTTTGGAAGACTTTCACAGTCAATCCGTGGTTTTTGGAGGTTGTTTCACAAGGTCTGGCCCTCTGTTTTCTGTCTTCCCTATCATTGTCTCCCCATCCAATTTCCTTCCCCTCTGCAGGATCCTGTTTGGTTTCAGCATTTGTAAGAGGCAGTTCAGGATTTACTTCAAAAGGGTGCCATTGAACGAGGAGATTCTTTTCATCTGGGGTTTTATTCTCATCAATTTGTCTTTCCTAAAAAAATGGGAGACTGGTGCCGAGTGATCGATTTGTCATCTCTAAATTGCTTCCTTGTCATTTCCAAGTTCACCATGGAGTTGTACTTAACTCTCTGTTGGGTTCTCACTCCAGGTCTGTGGATGAGAAGGTTTTTGTGTCGGATGCTTATCTGCATATTCCCATCTCCCCAGCATCTCAACATTTCCTTCGATTTTTTCATCACAGCCATGTTTTTCAGTTTCAGGCTCTTCTGTTTGGCCCTCTATGTGTTTTACCAAGTTTTTTTGTCATTCACTCGACTGTTTCATTCCTGCAGGTTATGTTTCCACCATTACATGGACGACTGGCTACTGCTAGCATCCTTGTAGGCCAACTCTGCCCTCCATACACGGTTTCTTCTTCAGGAAGCTGCCTGGGTCAGTTGGCTCATCAGCTGGAGAAGTTGTTCTTCACACCTACCTAGTTTCTGGTTCATCTGGGTGTGTTTTACATTTCACTTTTGAGCTGGGCCCAGCCTTCTTCACTTCATTTGAGAGATATGGAATGGCTAGTTTATGAGATCTCCTCCTCACCTTCTTCTTCAGCATGAGTGGTTCTATTTCTTTTGTAGATGTGGGCCTCTCTTGAGGTGCTCATTCCTCTTGGTCATTCCCACATGCGCCAGCTATGGTGGGCTTTAATCGACCAATGGAGCTTTGTTTGAGATCCCTTGAAGGCTCCTCTTACCCATCCTTCTCCATTACTTACAGACTTTGGCTGGTAGATGGACCAATACTACCATGGGGTTCCTCTTCCTCCACCTCGTCTGGATTGTGACTTTTTTACCGATGCTTCCCTTTCCAGTTGGGGAGCATAACTTGACAGTATGGAAGTGTTGTGAAGATGGACTCTTCCAGAATCCACTCTTCATATCAATATCTTGGAGCTTCTCACTGTTCAGTGGGCTGTTCTACACTTCCTGCTCTCTCTTTGGGGACAGGTGGTGATGGTGCATTCGGATGATTTGACAGTGGTGTCCTACATTGCCAATCAAGGAGGCACACAGTAGAGGTACCTTTATTTTTGGACATTGAGTCTTCTGTATTTGGTGCATAGCCATCAAATTACTTTACTGGTGTGTAATATTCAAGGTCCCATGAATCTGGTGGTGGATCAGTTATTCCGACTTGTTAAGATTAAACTGACGGAGTGGTCTTTGGATCCTGTCATTTTTCGAGAGTTGTATGCTCATTGGGATATCTCTGATTTGGATGTCTTTGCGTCTCCTCTCAAACCAAACTTCTCCATTTTTATTGCCTGTTCCTTATTCGTAGGCAGATGCAGTGGATGCTCTCAGCCAGAATTGGGCGAACAGTTACCTATATGTTTATCCTCGTTTTTGGCTTCTTCCTTTTGATAGTTCAGACCACTCTTTGTTGAGTTCTGTTGGTGGCACCATATTGGCCAGCTCAGATGTGGTTTCCACTTCTACAACGGACGGCTATTCGTGTCACCACCTGTCCCTCTATCTTTGTTTTCTACTCTCCTTCATCAGCCCCACTCTGGTACATGTCATCCTTCCTTACCCACACTCCATCCTCACATGTGGCTTTTGTCTGGTCCCTCGCCAGAAGATTCGGATTTTCCAGGCATGTTGTCTCCTTGATTTCCTGTCCTGTTTGCCCGTTGTCATTGGCAGTTTATTGGAGTAAGTGGACTACATACTGCTCTTGGTCTTTACACCAGGGTTACCATTCTTCTTGTCTTACTGTTTCTCATTTGTCACCTTTTTTCACTTGGCTTTATGACAGGGGTCTATTGGTTTCCTCTATTGCTGGTTATGAGGCAGCTTTGTCTACCACTTTAACAAATTTAACAAGTTTAACAAATTTATGTCAGTGCATGTGCACCTCATCATTGTAACTTCTGTATTGTTAGCCAGGCATAAAGATCTGTCTAAATAACACATGCCTGTCTCTAATTTGAACTTACAAACTAGAAAGACGGCAGTTGGTCAACAGCACCCACAACCAATATTTGAACTACTCTTGTTTGACCAAACTGTGAGATTTATGTAGCATACCCATGGTCCACAAACCCTCAGATTTACAGTCTGGGCACACTAAACACTCGGCCACACCTGGCCTTGGTCTTATGCAATCCATTAAAACATCAACAAGCTTCAATCGCACAGTACTTTCAGTTATAATTATGTATAAGCAGTTCAAATACACTTACTGCTATAAAAACACAATGCACCTCATCATTGTAACTTCTGTATTGTTAGCCAGGCATAACTGGAAGGGCAATATAACAAAAATAATAAGTATTTATAAATGTATAATGTTATGAGATTTAAGCTGTTTAGACTAAACATTTGTGTTTTCATGTTATAATCTGTAGTCATTCTAGAGCAAAAGAAGCATAATTTATATTTATTTCCTAACTTTTTATGGTGGTTATAAGGTCAGTCAAATTGACAAACCCCATATAGTTAGGGTAGAGAAAATAAAATAAAAAATATAAGTTTTACTGAAAACAAACATTTGAAATGTATTTAGGAGGTTTAAGAGATTTCACAAATAATATTTGAGATTTTTGGGACAAAGAATAGTTTTTTTTAATCATAACATGAAAATCATTTCACACTCGGACTAGTAATGAAACAGACTCGACATTTTCACAAACAAATCTTTAGTAAAAATATTTCATTAAAAAATGTGATATTTTGTGCACAAAACACTTGGAATCATTACTAAAAGTATATCAAATTTTGTGAAGATATACATATAGCATTGAAATTATAGTATAATTACTTAATGTGTGCAAATGTGTATACAAACTCGTGTATTTTATACCGCGAAAAGGTTAACTTTATATTTGATTGAATACAAATCCTGAGGTCGTCATATTAGTTTTGTTCAATGCTTTGAACTTTTATGTTCTTGTTTGTATAGTGCTTGATGAAGACTTGTTGGTATTATAATAATTGTCACGACACATATATACATCATATAAATCTAGCGTACATACTAACTCAGTCCTTGCTGATGAATTTTAACGCAAAAATATAAGAAAATAATTTAACATAGGTAGATAAGAACTGGTTTATTTGTGTTTTCATTTTTTAGCTTTTTCATCAAATTACAATGTGAAACCTCTGAACAACAGTTGTGCTACAATGGAAACTATAAAAAATATATTCTTATACATGTTTCAGTTTTGTCTTGTATCAGAAAATTATTTATAAAGCTTTGCTAGCAATGTATAATATTTATTTTTTTTAATTGGAAATGTGTATTTGCATTTCTTTCACAGATGTCTCTGAAGGAGTAACGTTTTAACCACTATGAAAACACATAATATTCCAAAGTTCATAAAGTCATTTGAATTTTTCTTCACAAACAAGCTGTAGTGTGGTTTATTTTATTTAGTGCCTTCTTTACCTCAGAAGTGGAAATAAGTTGTAATTCTGAGCTTGGTCACAGAGAAGTATATGTATAGAGCTCATTACATTCAGTTTGAGGAAGGTGTTGTGAATTAATTTTTTTTGTAATGTCTAATATCATTTTATAAGTTATTGGCATTGTGTTTTTATAGCAGTAAGTGTATTTGAACTGCTTATACATAATTATAACTGAAAGTACCGTGCGATTGAAGCTTGTTGATGTTTTAATGGATTGCATAAGACCTAGGCCAGGTGTGGCCTAGTGTTTAGTGTGCCCAGACTGTAAATCTGAGGGTTTGTGGACCATGGGTATGCTACATAAATCTCACAGTTTGGTCAAACAAGAGTAGTTCAAATATTGGTTGTGGGTGCTGTTGACCAACTGCCGTCTTTCTAGTTTGTAAGTTCAAATTAGAGACAGGCATGTGTTATTTAGACAGATCTTTATGTAGTTTTGTGCAAAAATTTTAAAAGTAAACTACTTAACTTAAATAAGTGGAAAATTTGAGTTTTGTATTTCATTTCACTTGGTGTTTATTTATGTTATTTAGTATATGCAGGCAACTGTGAGACCTCATTAGTTATTGAAGAATATATGCAGCTAGTTACCAATCATGACCTTGACACAAAAGTATAAATAGGGTACTTGATTGAGTGTGGAAAGTTTGTAGGAAAGCAGTGATTGCTTAATTCTGTGGTAACTTTGTGACTACTCTTGTGTGGAAAGAGAAAAAGATATATTTTTGTGAATAAGACAAGTTGAAACTATGTATATGAAATGAAACTTTTTAAGAAATTATATAAAATCTTAGTGTAAAACAGTTTTATAAATTTTCAAACATTTTAGTTGTTTCATTTTGTATTCAGGCACAAGAATCGTGCTTACAAAAGCTGCATTCACGAAGTTATTTTTTCAGTTGGACTTTTATACACGTTTGTTTCATTAGGCATGCATGCGAGCAGCTCGTGGGTAAGGTAATTCGATAGTGTAACGTGAGTCGCACATTCCCGAAGTGATTTACAACTGATATGATAAATGGTGCAAATAGTAGTTAGACATGGTTCAAAGGGCAATAAAACCCTAAAATTTAATTATATATATACTGTTACGAGTTTAAAGCTACTTAGGATATACAAATGTAGTTTCATGTTACATTTGAAGTCATTGTAGAAAGAAAAAGAGGGTAATTTAGATTTATTTAGATTTTTCTTTTCGGTGGTTACGAGGTCAGTCAAACTGACCGATCCCAATTAGAGATAGGGTAGAGAAAATAACAGATAAAATATAAACTTTTACTGAAAAAGAACATTTGAAATATATTTAGGAGGTTTTAGGGATTACACAAAGGAAATTTGAGATTTTTGAGATGAGGAAAAGTATTTTTAATTTTAACATGAAAATTACTTTGCACACGGACTTCAAAACAAATAATCAATATATTCATGGACAAATTTTTATTTTAGTTTATTAAAAATACTTCACTAAAATATATGATTTTTTGTATGAGAAGGACTTATAATATTAACTGAAAGACTGCCAGATTTCGTAAAGATATACACACTATATTGAAAGTTAGAGTACTGAATCTATAAAGACTTGAAACGAGTACAAAGAGGTCATGTGGTTGGTCAAATTGACCGAGCCTGTGTTGAGAGACTTAATGGGGTGTAAAAATCATAATTAACTGCAAGTTTTTCAATCTAAGCAAAATAAAAATGAAATAGGTACTTTGATAATGTTTATGTAAATAGTTTTTCTGAAACAGTAGTATTGTGGTAACCTTACAAGTAACATTGACATTGTTCATGTGATATTTATGTTAATGATCAAATAGTTAAATTTATACTTGTTTTCATTTGCTCACTCCATCACAACTTTTATTGCTAATGACATTCTTCTTTTGTCTTTTTTTTTTTAGCAAGAAGGACCCTGATGTGCTTCCAAAAGTAGTCGCAAACTTGAACATGATGCTTTCAGATGAATCAGTAGTTATTCAGAAACGTGTAATTCAGGCTGCTACACGATTATATAAAGTTACTTTAAAGGTGGGACAATAGATTATGAATGTGAAAGACTTTACAGAATTTTATTACTCATTTAATCCTAAACTTTTTTAAAACACAAAAGGAAGTATATAATTGCAGTACTTTTCATGACATCGTATGCTTTAATATGTAATTAGCTTGTGTATTTATTTTTCATACAGAGTTATAGGTTTAAAAATGTAACATGCATATTTCTGTTGAAATAATCAGTTTGTCCAACATTTTTAAATAATGTTGGTTATTTATCTTTATATATATTTAAATGTGTGTGTGTGTGTATATATTATGATTATTTAATGAGAACAACCATTGAATTGTATAGGTGGAAAAATTAAAGTTCTATCAGTTTGTGCTTTACCACTTTTTATCTCTAAAGTTTGGGATCTCTAGTAATTGACTCGCACTGTTCAAAACTCTTTCTTGGGAATTTGTAACAACTAAGGATTTATTATTAATATAAAATATATGGCATAGTAGAACATTTTTTAATCTTAAAAACATGTTTTTAAATAAATCTTTTTTATTTGAACCCTTTTATAAATATCTTTCCATTTAAATCTATCATAATGATATTAATGTTCACTACATTTTTAGTCACCATTTTGAACAAACTTCTTGTATTTTTCCAGTGGTTGTGTAAGGCAAAGGTTGTAGATGATATTATGGAATCCACATGGACTTACATGTGCCAGTTAAAGTCCAGAATTGTCTCTTTGTTAGACTGTGAAAATGATGGGTAATGTCTCACATTCTTATTTTCAAAAAAAATATTATGAAAATAGAGCATTTTTTAAGTTATAAAATATAGAATAGTTCAATCGTTAAAATTTGTCAAACATTGTTACTCGTACACCTATATTAGTAATTTTCTGTTCCAAATTATGACTAAAGTGTAATTTTGTTTTTGGTATACAACTTCTGACACTGTTGTCACTCAGTATTGTTTGAAGATGGGGATTCAGAGAGATTTTATATATATATGCATATCTGTATCTTGGGCCTTGACATCACAAGTTTGAATTTAATGTTATGCATACAGGTGGGTCAAAGTGTGCATGGCATGATGCTTTTACAGAGTTACTTTCAAAATTTAATCAATTTTAATATCAATGTATGTAAATAATCTTAGCATCAAAATGTTGTTTATCATTCAAATTTTCTGAATTACAAAAGTTTAATTTCTTAACTTCAAAAAGGAATATTTAAATAAATATTCAACCTTCACTAATCTGTGTCATTATGTATCTGATACTTTGATTTCTCCTTTTTTTCCAACCCTTTTATGGGTTTCAGAGTGTCCAAAAAACACAAATTATGGATATTGACAGACCAGAAAATAAAATAAGAACCTTCTGTCTTTTCAATTTGCTGAGATATACAAATAAATATAAAGAACAACATTCAACAATACATTCTTCTTTATATATTTTGGTGGTCAGAGACAACAATTTACATAAAAAAAATCAATACTTTGAGCAGCAACGAAATTTCTTTTAACGTTTTTATAACTTACTTACAAAGCCAGATAAATTATAGTAGTTTTCTAGCACCTAATATACTTTTTTTTATGTTTGAGAGGTGAAGTCTAAGGATTTACGATACAAAAATCTGAGGTTCAGTTTCTTGCGGTGGACAGAGTGCAGATACTTTATTGTGTAGCTTTATACTATGGCAAAACAACAACTTTTTTGTGTTCTAATATGTGTATTTGAATACCCACAAATTATTTTGTGGACAGCCAACATAGCATAGAAAAAGGAAAAACATTTATCTTGATCACTCCTCGTATTTTGATGTTATATGATATTTCCTAGTAGTTTGTTTACCCTAAGTTTTCTGCTCTCCTTCCAAAAGATTTATTGTTTGTTACAGTACAAGAAGATTGTTCAAATTTCAGTAGTAAAACCATAAAATTTAAAGAAAGCTGATGTGAAAAGGTTAGAAGCCAAGGGTATTGGGATAAATAATTGATATTGACTACTACAATCTGTAGTCATTATAGAAAAAAGTGTTTTTGACTTTATTTCATATTTTTAAACTTTTCATTTCACTGTGCTTTGATGATTTCACTACAATTAGTTTTAGGGTAGAGAAAGTAAGATAAAGTATATAAAGTTTTACCAAAAAACTTGATATTCATTTAGGAGGCTCTATACATAATGTCAATGAAATATGAAAACTATTATGTTAAAAACTATTATGTTAGCACACAAATCACCAATCACTCAGACTGGTTCAATTCACAGACAAATCTGTTTCTTAAATCTTTACTAATAATATTTTATTAAAAAATCTGATTTTTTAATGTACAACAGACTTATAATGTTTACGAAACATTTCAAATTTCATAAAGACACTCTTAGTACATTAAGAGTTATAGTATTTATAGTTTCATGGTTACAAGGTTGGTCAAAGTTACTGAGCTCTTATGAATAGGACTAAATGGATTAGTAATCAGATGACAGTTTCATTCAATTAAATTTTACTATGTGAAGCTGATGCTATGTGAAAGTTATGTTTTAATGCCACATGTTAATAAACCATATTAAATAAACCTGCCTGGATGGTGATGCATACGAGCACCAACTTGCCATTTCAGTGAAACCAACAAAATAAATGCCATGAAAGATGTGGGTGTATTTGCTAGTTTATCATTAGTATTAATTACTTGCACATTGATTTAATTGAATTAATCATGAAAAGTAACTTAATATTTTTCTTGAAAAAAAAGTTGATCTAAAAATGTAGTTTTAGGTAATATTTTATTCAGTCAGATATTTAAAAAAATTGACACTGAACAAGTTATATAAAAGAAAAATTTGCAATATTACTTTTTCATTTTTAATTATTTACTACAGGTTCTAAAACACATTAGATGTGAAAATGAACTTGTCAAGGAATTCATACTTAGTTACATTTTATTTGATTCAACCCAAATGATCAAATTTCGATCAGGCATATGTAGTGTTGATTGAGCTTTAATATCCTTAATATTACACCATATTTTTAATAAAAGATTCCTGAAATCATAGGAAGGGTAACTATTTTGCATATTATTTTATGTTTCTTTTAAACCAAGATTAAATACTTTTAATAAATTTGATATTTAGTTCTTCTGTATTCTCTCTCTTGCATCCCAGCACGTGTAAGGGTTAGGGAATAAATGCCTTCCATAGCGTGCGTGTTATATATTTAAAAAATATTTTTCATGTGAGTTATTGAACTGATTTCATAAAATTTTAAGTTGTAATTTTTTTTATATATCCAAGTGCAACAATAAAATACTTGTTTTTTTACAGAGATTTGACAAGTAGGAATCAGTACAATATTTTTAGTGACTGACATTTTGCATCTGTTGCATTTTCCTTCGTCATGTCTATGTGATGAAGTTGATATTTATCTAATTCAATCCAGTAAATTTCCCATGAAACCCCAAGCCTAATTTTACAGTTGCTTCGCCAATTGCAAGTCCGTTACTTGTTTATATTTATGATAATAGTTTTGAAAATATTCTTCAAAACTATACCCCTTTTAAATTGTATGAACCAGCAAGAAATATGAATAGATTCATGGTTTTATTGTTCTGTCTTTTTATACATTACACGTTTTATTTGTGTAGGTAGTAACTTTATTTTTGAGAGCTAGAAATCAAGTTGAAAGTAAAAGATTTCCATCTTTATTTTCAGAGTATTCTATCACAAATAAGTAAATATGAAATTTACTTGAAAAAAATTGAAAAATATGTTGATAAAGACTGATATTAAGAAAAGAATTAACCCTGGCTTGGCATGGCC